CTTTACATCCAGATCTATTTGAAGTCTGTATTTCACAACTCTGGGATTTAATATCAGAGGACAAGTTGACGACACATGTTCCTGAGAACTGGGCGAGAGATCTATTGCTTCTCATTCAGCTTGGCATAACTTTATTTTATATGCAGCATCAATAGAACATGACTATAGGCTACCATGGGACGCGGGTGGTGCTGTGGGTTAAACCACAGAGCCTAGTGCTTGCCGATCAGAAGGTTGGTGGTTCAAATCCCCGCGACGGGGTGAGCTCCCGTTGCTCGGTCCCTGCTCTTGCCAACCTAGCAGTTCGAAAGCACGTCAAAGTGCAAGTAGATAAATAGGTACCGCTCCGGCGGGAAGGTAAACAGCATTTCTGTGCACTGCTCTGGTTCACCAGAAGAGGCTTAGTCATGCTGGCCACATGACCCGGAAGCTGTCTGCCGGCTCCCTCGGGCGATAAAGCGAGATGAGCGCAGCAACCCCAGAGTCGGTCATGACTGGACCTAATGGTCAGGGGTCCCTTTACCTTTACCTATAGGCTACCATAGAATTTGAAAATGTTCAGAAAAGGGCAACCAAAGTGATCAAGGGGCTGGAATGACTCCCTTATGAGGAAAGCTGGTCACATTTGGGGCTTTCTCATTTAGAGAAAAGGCGAGTAAAAGGTGACATGATAGAATACACCCAATGAAGCTTAACGTCGGCAAATTCAGGACAGAAACAAGAAGGTAGTTAAACTATGGAATTCACTCCTGCAGGAACCAGTGAGGAACACCAAACTGGGTGGCTTTAAAAAAGGATTAGACAAACTCATGGAGGAGAAAGCTACCAGTCGCTGCTAGTCATGAGGGCTATACTCTGGCTCCATGGTCAGAGGAAGCAATGTATCTTAATACTAGTTGCTGGAAACCATAGGAGGGGAAAGAGCTCTTGTGCTTGAATCTTGCTTGTGGGTTTTCCAAATGCATCCAGTTGGCCACAGGATGCTGGACTGGATGGGCCATTGGCCTGATCCAGCAGGATCTGCTTATGTTCTTATAGGCCTCCGGCGGCACATGGTGACTTGTGGAACAGTACTTTTCTTTCATAACTGGAATGACTTAAAATGATTGATGTGCTGAAACTCGGTGCTTCTGTCAGGGGCGGGTGGGAGAGTTGGTTGTTGTTGTTTTCTTTATGGATATTTGAAAACAATAAAATGCAAACAAAAATTAAAAAGGCATCCATCACCACACATAGCAGGTTGGATACAGATTCAGTCGTGCTTAGACTAGACCTATTGAAACTTAAGTTGATTAGACAAATCCATGGAATTAAAAACCATGAGTGGGTTCTCCAGTCACAATAGCTATGTTTTTCCACCACAGATAGAGGCAGATGGAGTAATTCTTCTCAATACCAGTTGCTGGAAAACACAGGAGGGAAGAGGGCTCTTTTGCTCACTGCTTCCAAAGGCATCTAGTTAACTACTTAATTTGCTTTATCCAGCAGGGCTCTTCTTATGTTTTTATTGCTTTAGTTATTAACTAAGTTAGTCTCCTCTGGCTTTCCCGAACCTGATGCCTTCCAGATATTTTGGACTCCAACTTCTATCAGACCCAGTCAGCATGGCCACTGGCAAGGAATGATGGGAGTTGTAGTCTATCAACATTTGGAGGACTTCACGTCCTCCCCCCCCCAACCCAAGCAATATATAGCCCAAAAAGAAGTTATCCTTCAAAATGTGCTACTTCTCCAGATTTGGAAATGCAGTTCTCCAAACAAAATATGTATATAATAATGCATATATAAAAGGGAAAGTGTGCATACATTAGGGGAAATAACATGAGAAATTCTACAACTTTGCATACTTATGCATGTGTGTATGTGTCTATGTGTATACACACACACATTCATTCATGTTTTGTAATAGACTAATAACCATTCCGGTAAAGAGTCATGCCACTTATTCAGAGAAGCTATTCAATCTGGTTGCTTTTCTTAAGAGCTAATGCCTCATTTCCTATTGCAATAGCTTCCTCTCAAGTAAATGGAAATGTCGCCATTATACCTTCACATTTATTGACATGCACCTCTGTATTGAATGGACATCCTTTGCGGTTACTGCTTACTCTCCGTAATGGACTGTATGGGAAGCTAAAACCTTTATGTGGCCGTGAACATTACATAGTGCGAGGGGGGTGTGCTTTTTCCACTGGAGGTTTATGCAGAGAGCTGGAAGCGTCCGGCACCTGCCTTAGGAGCAAGTGGGTTTGCAAGGAATGGGGGGTGCCCGATGCCAGAGGGTTTGTGGGTGTGCCTTGCCCTTTTCTCCAGGGAGATCAGAATATGCAGGTTGCCACCCACCCAAGTATTGGTTAGGGCCAAGAAGCCTCAAGTGAAGCCATTTCTCTCTCTCTCTCATATCAATGATGCGAACTGCATTACAGCTTTTGTTGAGCAAGGAGTCAGTGTTTCCTGTATCCCTTAACTCCCAACATACCAAAGAAGTGATGAGGGGAAAGATTGAGGTGAAAATAAAACAAATTATTCAAAACCAGCAAAAGCAAACCTGGTGTTCACACCATGCATTTAAAGAACTATGTTGCTCCTTTAAACAGCCATGGTTTCCTGCAAAGAGTTTGGGAGTTGTAGTTAAGGGCGCTGAGAGCTTTTAGGAGACCCCCCCCCATTCTCCTTCCAGAGCTCCCTGTAAGAGGGATTGAATGTCAAAACCACTCGGGGGGGGCAAGAGTCTCCTAGCAACTCTCAGCCCCCCAACAAAACAACAGCTCCCAGAATTATGGGGAGGGGAGGGGAACCATGACTGTATCTTCGTGTATCTGCTGTTTTTTGTGTGTGTCTTTTGAAGGCAAAAAAAGCCTAAACAAGAGTTTGGGTATCTGATAACGACGCAGGTATTGGAAAAGATATCATGACATATCTTTAGGTGCCAGGCAAAAAGAAAAAAAAAATCCTCTTCTCCCAGACCTTTGGTTACTTAAACAATTTATGGCCTTTTAAACTTTGTGTAGTTTCGGTGAGGGGTGGGGATTATTGGTTTGTTTGTATTGTTATGTATTTTTGTGGTTTCGTACAGTGAACTGCCCTGTGATCCTCGGAGGAAGAGTGCAATATAAATTTAATAAACAATAATAATAGGCGCTACCTAGCTCCCATAGTGTTTCCTGGCAAGAAAGCAGGCTTAGTAAACTGCTACCCATCGCATGTTCCCACTGCTCTGGAAAGCAGGGAGCGCAAGGCAGGGTTTCCCTAAGGAATTTTCTCTTTTTCAATGGAGTGAGTCAGCAAAAACTGTGGGTGGGTTGAGGTGGCAGGTCTTTCCTGCTCTGTTATGTACAACTCAGTGCTGGGAGACTGGAGGGGGCCGGTTAGCGGCTGGTGGCTGTCAAAAAGAATAACCAGCCAACTCCTACCTGACTCCCCTTAGTTTGCTCCTAGTGATGCTATTACTGGCATATTCTAAAGCCAGGAAGGTCTTTGGTGGAAATAAATTTTTAATGCAAATAGATGCTTGATACCACAGATAGCCTGAGAGGGGGCATTGTTTCCTGGAGAGAGTGGGTGGGGTTTGCCTTACATATGTGTAAGGTATAAAAAAGGGTGTGTGTGTGGAGATATGGAAAGATCTTACGAATAAATAAATGCAAAGGACGTCAGTATGGAGGTTAAGAAGAGGCCTATATCTTGCAAATCTTAGAGGGGGTGTGCTGCATCTCTCTTTGGAGAGAGAGAGAGAGAGATTGCCCACCTTCACACCATAAATTTAAAGCAGTATGATAACAATTTGAACCGTCACAGCTTCCCCCAAATAACCCAGGGAGCTGTAATTGTGTTAAGGGTGCTGAAAGTTCTTAGGAGACCCCTGCTACCGTCACAGAGCTACAACTCCCAGAGTTCCCTGGGAAGAGGGATTTGACTCTTAAACCACTTGGAGAATTGCAGCTCTGGAGTGGGGTGGGGTGGGGGAATCGGGAGGGGTCTCCTAACAGCTGTCAGGACCCTGAACAAACTACACTTCTCAGGATTTGTTGGGGGGAAGCCATACCTGTTTAAAGTGGCGTCATAGCACTTTAAATGCGTGGTGTGAATGTGGCCTTTGTGTTCGCACCACTGTGCCGTCACTGAGGACCCAACTAGATGCAAAATAGAAGTACCATGTGTGGTGGGTTCATTAATTTCAGTGAGCCTACTCTGAGTAGAACCTACTTGAATTAAATCCGTGATCTTCTGCAGTTTTTTCTTCCTTAAATTAAATAGAAGCTGGGGGTTTGATTTAGATTTAGATCAGGACTGTGATAAAGAGAGCAAAGGAAGATTAATCCCTTTCCGTTTTCATTCTTGACTGAAATACACATACACACAGCTGCAAGTGTTTGGGGCTGTTTGCTTCTTTGTTGTTATACTTTTTCTATTCTCCTGTTCCTCCAAGGAGCTCAGTGCTGAGGCAGTATGTTTAGTTATTGCCTTTGTCTCATTTTAACTTCACAACAACCCTGTGATCTAGCTTAGGCTGAGAGAGTGTTGGTCCGAAGGCCACCTATGGCTGAGCAGGAATTTGAGATATTTGTTTCACTCTTGCACGAATACAAATTGCAGGGGCGGTGGTTGGAATATGACAATGCACACCACCTTGAGCTCCTCTAAGGAAAGGTGGGCTTATAAATCAACCGCAGCTAGTTCAGGCTTCAGGCGAGACCCTATAAAAGAGTAAATGGCTGCTATTACCAGCCAGCAAAATAGTTCTGAAACAGCCTGCGGTGTTGACTGCAAAAAAAAACCAAAAAAAACAACAAAGGCCGTTTTTGTTTTTAGAGAAAGTCAGCAGCTGGAAAATAATTGGGAAGCTGGAAATTGGTCTCAGAGTTCTCCACATGCCGCCCGCTGCTGCCTCTTTACCCTTACCCCTCCCGTAAGAGTTACTGGCGTTGTGATAGTGCAGCCAGCGAAAACTCTGTGCTGCCATTAAACTGCAGCTGCAGACTTCTGCACGAGCTGTTTCTCAGTCTTTCTGGACTCGCCTTCCCCAGTTAATCAGTCAGGAATCTCAGCACAAGCGAAAGTTTCCAAGGGAGAGTGGACATTTCATTGAAAGCAGCATAAATGTCTTTTTTTTCCCTTCTACTTTATCGGGGAATGAAAATAGATTGAAGGTGGTAAATTTTAAATAATCCGAGGGAGAATCCCGGTGCAAGAAGTGGATCAGGGTGGCAAACTTTCACCCCTAGCCATTGCTAACTTGTTCAAAGGAACGGCAGCAACTTCACCCTGCGATTGCCATCTAGTGCTAGCTGAGAGTGCTGACAGCAGGTCTTTCTTTCTTTCTTTCCTGCAGGCAGAAAGCTCTGGCATCTACAGGAGGCCGAAGCGTCCAGGCGGCTTGTGACTGGTTGGTATGAATTATGACCTTCTACACTCTTGCAAAATCAAATTTTTGATATCCGTATCAGGACAAAGTACTTGGAATAGGAGTGCACATCAAGGGACGCGGGTGGCGCTGTGGGTTAAACCACAGAGCCTAGGGCTTGCCAATCAGAAGGTCGGTGGTTCAAATCCCCGCGACGGGGTGAGCTCCCGTTGCTCGGTCCCTGCTCCTGCCCACCTAGCAGTTCGAAAGCACGTCAAAGTGCAAGTAGATAAATAGGTACCACTCTGGCGGGAAGGTAAATGGCATTTCCGTGCACTGCTCTGGTTCGCCAGAAGCGGCTTAGTCATGCTGGTCACATGACCCAGAAGCTGTACGCCGGCTCCCTTGGCCAATAAAGCGAGATGAGCGCCGCAACCCCAGAGTGGGTCACGACTGGACCTAATGGTCAGGGGTCCCTTTACCTTTACCTTTACCTTTAAGATGCCTTGTATCAGACTGTGGGCTTCATCATTGCCCACACTGACCATCAGAAGTTATCCATTGTCTCCAGAAGGGGCCCTTTTTGTTTTGTTTTCCCCCACCCCATCCTACCTGGCGATGCTGGGGGTTGATCCTGGGGTGCCCTGCATGCTCTGCTGCTGAACTACAGGAGCTCCCAGTGCAAATCTGGTCACCCTCCTCTGCACACATTCCAGCTTGTCAATATCCTTCTTAATTTGTGGTGCCTAGAACTGGACACAGCCCTCCAGGTGTGGCCTGACCAAGGCAGAATAGAGTAGTGCCATTACTTCCCTTGATCTGGACAGTATACTTCTGTTGATGCAGCCAAGTTCTCACTGTAACCAGATTTTCACAAAGCATTTCAGAAGGGCAAAAAGTAGGGACAGACTAGGAGATGGCGTTTTCCCAGGGACATGTTCCAGAAACCGGGGGGGGGGGGGGGGGCAGTCCTGTCCCTTGTAAACAGGAACACTGGGGTGTGGTGCCATTGCACTGCAGCGCTGTCAGTCATGGCGATTGGAATGCTTTTTCCATACATGGAGGCGCATGGTCTGCCCCCACGTCAAGAGCTGCAGCCAAACAGCCGTAGGCAGAGCTTCCATCTGGGTATGGGAGATTTTCACCCACAACCCAGAGCTCCAGAACCACCACCACCTTTCCCATTGCACCCCCTGAAATCTGTTCTAGAAAGCTGGCAAGGAGAACTTCTGAAATATCACCAAGAGCTGTCCTCAGGACAAAGAGTCTGGAGAGCTCTGGTGCTCTATGAAGGGCTGGAGCTCAGTGGTTGAGCATTTCCTTTGCAGGCTGAAGGTCCCAGGTTTAATTCCCAGCATCTCCAAGCAGGGCTGGAGAGATCCCTGTCTGAATTTTTTTATTATTATTATTTTTCATTTTCACATTTTACCACATGTTTAACAAGAAAAACAGAACCTTACAAATTTAATTTGCATTTCCCACAACTTCCCTCCCCTCCTTTCTGTAGTTATTTAATTTATATCTTTTTATTACTGCATATCCAATTCAAACCTATTTACTAATTTTCCTTCATCTTCCCCTTTAATTATCTCTTACCACACATGTTTATATCAACCCTGCTAACATTTTAATTTGTTTACATTGTATCTTCAAATAATCAATAAATTTTCCGCATTCTGCTCTTAAAAAGTCTCTCATCTTGATTTCTTTCTTCCGGTAAGCTTTGTCATTTCTATGTACTCCATCAATTTTAGTTCCCAATCCTCTTTTGTTGGAACTGTTAGTTCTTTCCATCTTTGGGCATAAATCATTCAGACAGCTGTGGTAGTGTACATAAACAGGTTTTTTTTCTGTTCATTGTGTACATCTGCACCGGTTATACCTAGAAGAAAAGCTTTTGGTTTTATCACAAAAGTTATCTTCAGCGTTTTTTTCAACTCATTATACATTATTTCCCATAAAGCTTTTGCTAACTTACATGACTGAAATCCTGGAGACTCATTGCCGCAAGCCAGTGTAGCCAAAACTAAAGTAAATGGAGCCATATATTATTTATTAAAAAGGTAAGGGACGCAGGTGGCGCTGTGGGTTAAACCACAGAGCCTAGTGCTTGCCGATCAGAAGGTTGGTGGTTCAAATCCCCGCGACGGGGTGAGCTCCCGTTGCTCGGTCCCTGCTCTTGCCAACCTAGCAGTTCGAAAGCACGTCAAAGTGCAAGTAGATAAATGGGTACCACTCCGGCAGGAAGGTAAATGGTGTTTCTGTGCGCTGCTCTGGTTCTCCAGAAGCGGCTTAGTCATGCTGGCCCCATGACCCAGAAGCTGTACTCCGGCTCCCTCAGCCAATAAAGCGAGATGAGCGCCGCAACCCCAGAGTCAGCCGCAACTGGACCTAATGGCCAGGGGTCCCTTTACCTTTACCTTTAAGGGACCCCTGGACGGTTGCGGTGCTCATCTCGCTTTTTAGGCCAAGGGAGCCGGTGTTTGTCCGCAGACAGCTTTCCCTTTAAATGGATCCTTAGTCTGACCTTGTATAAAGCATTCTCCTTTCTTCCCAGGAATGCATGGAAGACTCTTAGATTCTTGACTGTTTCTTTCTCGCTCCAGACTGATATTTTTTGCATTACGGCCTCTGTATTGGTCATCCTTTCTGACTGCATTCATTTGCCAAACTTGTTTCTTCTCCTCTCTTGCAACAACTGTTCATTACCCCCTGTTTTCCCTTACAGGCTGTTTTCACACGTGTGCGACCCCTTTCTCGATGACCCCCTGCCTCGGGAGTACGTCCTCTACCTGCGTCCCACCGGCCCCTTAGCGCAGAAGCTCTCCGACTTCTGGCAGCAGTCGAAGCAGCTGTGCGGGAAGAACAAAGCTCACAATATCTTCCCCCACATCACGCTCTGCCAGTTCTTTATGGTGAGTTGGTCCTTTCCCCCTTCTTTGCTATCTCCATCCTCTTCTGCATCCGGTTGAATTCTAAGGGCGAAACTGACCCATGATGCTGCGAAGTGCAAAAAGCGACTGGAGGGATGAAGCCACTCAGCCTGCATTGATCTGTTGGCCAAAGTGCTTCCAGGTGTCCTGTTTGTGGAGCACTCGTCCTCACTGACTTACACAAAGCTTCTGAGGAGGTTAGACCATGCCTGATCTTCACTGAGCCTTTGATCTTCCCAAGGAGGTTATACAACAATGGGTATTCCTCCTGATTTCTTTGCAGGGTGTCCCTGCGTCTTCTTGAGGGTTTCTCGCAGGTATCTGCTTGGCCACTGTGAGAACAGGACGGTGGACTAGATGGGCCATTGGCCTGATCAAGTAGACTCTCCTTGTGTTCCTATAGCTACAATAAGTTGTACCAAACTGCTTAAAGGCAGGCTTTCTGAGACCGTGCTACTGTCCAGTTTACAAAGTAGCTGGCAGATCTTGGCCAAAGTGTAACATTCAGCTTTTGAAGACTCCAGTTGTTTGTGACAGCAATTGGTTAGTCCACACTGAGCTGTCATCTGAATAGGTTTCCCTGACTTTCCACCAAGAAAGGACATTTTTCAACTCTATAAGAAATGGGCAGGGTGAGTAAGACTGGCTTCTCTGTGCATCTCTTAATTACCTTCCACCTACAGGAAATATTGAAAAACACAACCTAGATAAAGTTCTCTGAACTTTATGCTTTTTTTTGGTTTTGTGCTCATGCACGTCTGGGTGTCGGTATGAAAGTAACAACTATGGAAACTTCACCTGGTAGACCACTGCGTTTTGGTTTGCATGCCATGGCGATGCAGTGAGTGGGTTGCTAACTGAAAGACATGTGGGGAAATAAGGCAAGTGTAACAGGAGCTCTAGTCCAACAACATCTGGAGGAAACTGTGTTGGCTACCCTTGGGCTGCAGAATCTTGGGGCAATCCAACTGATTTGGGGGTTTAAAAGGTACACGTTTCCAGTGCTCATGGTGCATCGGATCATGGCCTCTAAACTGACCACAGTCTCTTGGCAGTGCGAAGACAGCAAAGTCGAGGCACTCTGTGAAGCTCTCCATGCTACTGTGACCCGGTGGCGGTGCAAGTTCCCCGTCCCTTTGCCCCTGGAGCTCTACACCTCATCCAACTTCATTGGGCTCTTTGTCAAGGAGGACAGCGCAGAGGTCCTCAAGAAATTTGCCGCAGACTTTGCTATGGAAGCCACTTCTAAAGCCGGTGGGTGCTCAGGGCAGGATGCAACTTCTTTAACTTTTATATTTTATTTCTTTAATGCAAGATGTTTCTGTTCCACCTTTTAGACTTCTTTGCATTTATGATTTTAAAAAGCCTCCCAGGGCAGTTTACAAAGTTGGGAAAGCCCCTGTAAAGTTTGGGGCCAAGGTATCTCAAGGACTGCTTGCTCCCATATGAACCTCTCCATGCTCTTAAGACTGGTGTGGGGCACTTTTAACCCTCCAGAAGTTGATGAACTACAGTTCCCATCACCCCTGGCCATTGAGCATAGTTTGCTGGGGCTGATGGGAGTTGTAGTTCAGCAACATCTGAAAGACTAAAGTTTCCCACCACCTGCTTCTAAGATCAGTCGGTGAGACGTCTCTCCTGGGTCCACCCATCTGTTAAGAGCAGATGAGTAGTGAACAGAGAGCAGGGCCTTTTCTGTGTTGGCACCCACTCAAAGAACATTCTTGGTTCTGTAAGCTGGTTGCTCACACTTATGATCTTTCTGCACTAGACTGAAATGTTTTACATATCCAGGTTTTTAAACTCAGTTTGTTGCAAGAGTGGCTGGTAGGGAGGGGCAGAACTGCAGACCCGGCCTCCTGACAGCAATATACCAGTGCTCTCAATGGTATGTCTACTACACTGTCCTGACTTTGCTGCTGTCCTCATGCTGTCCTAGAACACTGTAGCAACGCTGGTGCCGAGAGATCCATGGTGCCAGGTGAGGTATTGGAATAAAGTCTGACCACCAGGATGCCACCATAAAAAAGGCCCTGTCTTTGGAAGTGCTTGCCTAACTTTCTGAAGGTGCAAGGACACCTGGTGGAGGGCAGCTTCTTGTAGTGGGGGGGGGCAGTCTTTTAGTTACAGAGGCTCCAGACTCCATGCTGTATAATATGCCCTTCGTAACACAAGTAAAGGGCCTTTTATCTTTCCGACATATGACCAGTTTGCCATTATTCCCACCTTCACCATGTTTTCAATATGCAGTTTGGCTCACTTGCTGGAGCCATCTGCTAGATCCACTCCCCCTCTTCTTCCACTTCGGGCAGTTCATTTGCTCTGTAGATTGCCTAGGGTGGTTTACATGCAGTGACGTTTCTGCATGTGCTGAGATTATTTAGGAGCACAAGATATTTTAACTGTGTAATATATATATTTCTGTTTTATGCACTGTCTTTTTTTGGCTTTTCCCCCCTTCATTTCTGTAATTGCTTCAGCTACACAAAAATAAATAATATTCACAATCCAAAAAATAAACAGATTGTACAATGGGGCTTCCAGTCTCTGGACCTGTCCTGTGTGGCTCCTTCTATTTTCTAACACTTTGCGATGCAAAATATCAAGAGTCAGTCCCAAGAGAACAGACCCTTTTTTCCTTTTCTTTTTTTTGAGCTCCTGGAGATCTGAACTTTCGTTCTTGAGCTAAGAGAGAGGTGCCCCACTGTGTTCTGCCTCAGCCCTCCCACTCTCATTGCTTCAAAAGAAAAACAGAATCTATACTTCCTCTGATTCATTATCTCCTGAGAAGGAAGCTGACATTTCGGCAGTTCTTTAACCTTTCTGACAGATGCGTGTTTGTTCTGTGCTTGCAATGCTGGTGCTTCCTGCATCCTCTCGGTGTCTCAAGATGCCTGTAAACAAAACCCTTTCGTTGATGGGCAAGAGATGGGGGAGAAGGGCCGTTCAGTTTGCATTAAAAGGCAAAGTTCTCTCATTTGCACCTTCGGAAACAACGGGCAGACCGAAACTCAGCCGTGCTTTGGAATTTGCGCATCTCTGAAATTTTGCAACGCAGCTCTTCAGTCAAGCCATGGAACCAGAAATGCACAGGCTAAAATATACATTAAAATGCATATAGATATATATTAGAATGCATTTTTGTATTTCATATTCACTATTAGGGAAAATTGCTTTGCAAAATGTGTATGCTGTGGGGGGGGGGGAGTGGGATGTGCAAATGTGTACATTAGGAGAGATTTGTGCTAAAATGCTGGTGAATTGCACACAGAATTACCATTCCCAGAGTCCCCTTTGTAGAGAGATTTTTATTTATCTATCGAATCTCCACAACAACCCTGTTAGGTGGGGGTAGACTGAGAAGCGGTCACTAGCCCAAAGTCACCCCCTGAGCTTCATGGCCGAGTAGGAATCTGGCCTCTCAGGTCTGTGAGGGGAATGGAAGTTTCCAGAAAACTCCCAGCAGATAACACTTCCCAGGATTCCTTGTGGGGTAGCCATGACTGTTTGAGGGGGCATGATATTGTGCTAAATGCATAGTGCAGATGGGGCCTTAATAATCTCTTACAAGCCTTATTTTTTATATAAAAAAATAAGGAATGTCTTCAATAGGGGTTGAAAAGACAACAAAAACATCCCAGAAGCACCTGACTCGCCAGCTCTGAGCTAGGCTAACCTGGCTGATATCCAGTCGTCTCAGTGGCTCCCAACTGACCACAGATTTCCAATTTGCAGATGTCCACGTGGAACCCCACAAGAAGCAGCTCCACGTCACCCTGGCCTATCACTTCCAAGCCAGCCACTTGCCGACGCTCGAGAAGTTAGCTCAGAGCATAGACGTCAAGCTGGGCTGCGACTGGGTGGCCGCAATATTCTCCCGGGATATTAGATTTGCCAATCATGAGGTAAGCGTGGGACTCCTTGTTCCCCTTAGGGGAAATGAAGGCGGTTGCTGCGTTTGATTCAAAACACACAGCGAGGGTGGGCTCTTGGGGTGGGAGTTGTTCTTGCAGGAGAATCCATGTCTGCTTTAATATAAAGCAGGCACAGGAAAGTTGTGGCTCCAAGCGTTTAATCCAGATCACGAGGTCTGTTCTGTCTCAACCTAGTGCCCATCCTCATAAGATGTAGGAGCACTAGGGTAGGGAGGGCAGTTGCTACTGGGGAAAGAGATTTATTTTTGGTTGGTTGGTTGGGGAGGAGCGATTGCTTAGCATGTGCTCTTCATAAACAAGGTCCCCTAGTTCAGACCTGAACATCTCTAGGTTGGGCTGCAGATGTTCCCTTTCTGAAAATCTGGAGGTCCACTTCTAGGCATCGTAGGCAATCTGAGCTGGATAGACCAATGACTTGCAACAAGGCAGTTTCTGATGTTCTTCTGCTCATTCACCGTTGGCTTAAGGCTTTCTCCTTCTCCACCCCTTGCAGACCCTCCAGGTGATCTACCCATACACCCCACAGAACGATGACGAGCTGGAGCTGGTCCCGGGGGACTTCATCTTCATGTCTCCCGTGGAGCAAGTCACCACCAGCGAAGGCTGGATTTACGGCACTTCGCTGGCAACAGGGTGCTCTGGGCTGCTGCCCGAGAATTACATCACCAAAGCAGATGAGTGCGGCACATGGGTGTTCCATGGGTAAGAGGTCTGATCCTGCTTGCATGGGTGGCAAGGGCTTTTATTGTGGATGAGTCTGCCACTAGAAGGTCACAGCGTGGTGGTAGGGAAGCTCAAGCTGACTCACGGATGAGGGAGAAACAAGTCATTTTCGGTTCGGGCATCAATTATTGACTATGATTATGATTACTATATTTATTTATATCTCCCTTGTCAGATTCAGTCCTTTGGCATTCATGCACCTATCTAACGATGGTTCATTCATTTAAATGGGTCTTCTCTCACTGCCAATGTAAACCAGCGAACGAATAGAAAGAGAACATGCTCAAGTGACGCTGCCACAAAAACCTCACACATAAACCAATTTTGAAAAAAGGAAAAATAATACGTAAATTTACCAGCCACTCTCTCCTCCCACCTCTCTTCCCCTTCAATCATGTACTAGATACAGAATTGTCTAACGTTGAACATAACTCAGAGACTCTATGATCTCAAAAAGAGAGAGGGAAAGAGACATTGCACGTTCTTTTGTAATTCAAGAAAATATTTAATAAAAAAATTTCCAAAAGGGAAGGGAAAAAAGAATTAGTAAACTGCAACCCAGAAATCCTGGCTGATCATCTCACTCAGAGCCTGCCCAGTCCTTTTGTAAGATGCCTTATACATACTTTATTATGGGGGAAAGCGGGTTGTACATCATTAAATAGATGAAATGCATGTCAGCATCCACAAACCACCTGTGCCTGTTTTGGCAGGTCATATTCCATTCTGAACGCCACTTCGTCCCCCTCCCTCCTGATGTTCACTGACGGAGTGATGGATCGAAGGTTGCAGGAAGACCAAGGACCAGGGGATACTGGGCCCCTCACAATCTTCTGCCAGAGCATGCAGGTAAGGTTCGTCTGCACCTTTACCTGCCTCCAAGGCAGGCTGAAACACCAGAAGGGGGGAAAGAAGGCTGGTTATTTATCATATTAAGGTGTTGCTTTTTTAACCTCATCCTCAGCCCTTAAGGATCGCCAACTCACCTGGGCCACAGAAGAGGTGCCTTTTCGTTTGCCGACATGGCGAAAGAATGGACGTTGTGTTTGGGAAATACTGGCTCTCACAGTGTTTTGATGCCAAAGGTGAGTTTGTTTCTGTCACAGTGTTTTACTTTTTTTACTGGGAGACATCCAGTGCCATGCGAGCAGACATTAGTTTGCTAGGAATAGAGGAGGAATCTGCACTACTGAAATTTCAAAGTGGACTCCACAGATCCAATCAGACCAATCGTCCTCTTCAGAATATACAGTCTGGTAGATTCCGTTACAAGTTCAAGGGATGCACGCTGCCTCCATTCCCCACACTCCATTCCCCAACTTTTAAAGTTGTAAAGTAGGGTGCTTGCTTTTCAGTTGCCCCCCCCAACCCAAGTGGCTAATGCATAGGGCTTTTGACCTCTGCACACTTTGAATGCATGGAGAGCAGCTCTGCTTGGGAACGACAAGACGTATTGGCATTCTCTCACTCTCAGGAGGAACTGTATTGAGGTGGGAATCTAGCTACCCTCAGGTAAACACACTGGGACTCCCTGCTGCAGGATCTTCTCCCTCTCTGGAACGTCACACGATCTTCCAAATGTTTTGTTGCCTCTCTTGGATGGCTGGGGGAACTCACTTTACAATTTGATAACTGCTACCTGAAGGACATGCACTTGGGGGAATCACTTAAATTTTTGCCTCCTTGCTCTCTGTGTCTCCTGACAGGAAGGTACATGCGGACAAACCTGAATATGCCTCACAGCCTACCTCAACGGAGTGGTGGTTTCAGGGATTATGAAAAGGATGCCCCCATCACCGTGTTTGGCTGCACTCAAGCACGGCTTGTGGGTAAGCTCCCCACTTGGGGAACAGTATTTTTCTATTTCTATTAGAGGTGGCGCTGTGGTGTAAACCACTGAGCCTCTTGGGCTTGCCGATCAGAAGGTCGGCGGTTCGAATCCCCACGACAGGGTGAGCTCCTGTTGCTCGGTCCCAGCTCCTGCCAACCTAGCAGTTCGAAAGCACACCAGTGCAAGTAAATAAATAGGTACCACTCCGGCAGGAAGGTAAACGGTGTTTCTGTGCACTGCTCTGTTTTTGCCAGAAGCGGCTTAGTCATGCTGCCCACATGACCCGGAAAAACTGTCTGCGGACAAACGTTGGCTCCCTCAGCCTGTAAAGCGAGATGAGCGCTACAACCCCAGAGTCGTCTGCAACTGGACTTAACTGTCAGGGGTCCTTTACCTTTACTCATAACTTGTCTCCTTGAGAGTTTTGGGTTCTAGTCTCTCTTGCTCTCTTAATGGATCCTTGTCTGTCAAACATCCAGCCACGACATCAGCAGTTGTAGCACATCGACCACGATAGTAATAATAATAAAATCAGGCCTGCTTGCTCTGTCTTGCAACTCTTCCAAAACTACTCTGGCTCTTGGGCATTAGAGACGAGAGGTACCAATCAAGGGGTGGCTTTTCCTGCTTGCCATCACCTTGAATTAAAGTGCATGAGGCCGACTGCAATGAAGCCATTATGAGCTGGAAATCAGAGATGTCTCAGAGTCTAGATTTTCTAGGTTAAGAAATATGAGCCTCAGGGGCTGGTCATGCTCACCTCAAATTACAACCTCCCAGTTCTTCTTCTGGTTCAGATTTCTGTCTCAGTGAAAGAAAACCCCCATTTCTCACCGGGTCCCTCCTGCTCACCTCTTCCCATGATCCTCTATTCCTGGGGTAGCTAGTGTGGCGCCTTGCAGGTGGTGCTGCACTACAACTCCCACTATCCCTGGCTGTCGGCCATGCTGACTAGGAGTAGAGACCCAACAAGATCTGGAGGGCCACCCTGTTAGCTGTGCTTGACTGCTACTGTGCCTGGGTGCAAAAAGAGGAGGGGGCTCCTGCACTTTTAATAGCTTTGTAAAAAAAGAGAATTTCATTTTTTTAAAATAATTTTTTATTAGATTTTCACATTTTTATACACTTTATCTCTAACCAATTCAAATATTAAATTACAAGGTTCCCTGAACCTTCAGACTTCCTCCCCTCCCTCCCATTGGTTGTTATATTAAAAGGTTAAGTTTTCTGCATCTTATGCTTTGTCCAGCTATTCTATATCTCTGATTATCATAATCAATTTCACATTACAAATGTCATTACACTACCAATGATTTTAACTGTTTACAGTGGGTTTTTTTAAATAAACTACAAATTTACTCCAGTCTCTAGCAAATACTTGATCCTCTTGGTTTCTGATCTTCCCCATCAGTTTTGCCATTTCTGCATATTCCATCAATTTCGTCTGCCAGTCTTCCTTTGTTGGTGGTGGTTCTTCTTTCCATTTTTGGGCTAGTTGCATTCTTGGCCGTTGCATACATAAAAAGTCTTTCTTTTAGGTTTAATAGGTGAAGAAATGCCAAGAGAAGATAAAATACTTTTTTAAAAAGAGAATTTCAGCTTGGATGACAAACTACATTTGGCGAAATGTGCTCTTCTATTAAAAGTACAGGTGACCTGCCCTTTGTTTTTGCATCTAGACGCACTAGCAGCGGAAGCTGGGATTTCAGCTGGTGCAGCTTGCTATACAAGCTGAAGTTCTTTACACAACAAGTTAAACTGTGGAATTCACTCTTGCAGGAGGCAGTGGTGGCCACCAACGTGGATGGATTTAAAAGAGGTTTGGGCAAAGTCATGGAGGAGAAGGGCTATCAATGGCTATGAGCCACAATGGCTATGCTCTGCCTCTGCTGTCAGAGGCTGTAATGGTTCTGAAAAAGCAGGTTGTGGAAACCACAGGAGGGGAGAGGGCTCTTGTGCTTTGGTCCTGTTTGCAGGTTTTCCACAGGCGTCTGGTTGGCCGCTGTAAGAACTAGATGAGGCTCTCCACATGCTCTTATGTTCAGAGAAATTATTTTCCTTTACACTGACATCGTTTGCACTTGGGCACCCTGTCTATTGTTGTAAGTCATTAACTGGCAGGGAACCAGTTTTGTATTGGCTCTGAATCAAATACTCCAAGTGTGGTGAAGGGGAGAGAAGAGAAAGAGGTGGGAAAACACGGCTATTCCTGCCAAAGGTTAATCTTATTCAGCAGCGGCAGCCGTTGGGAGAATGGACCCAGGGGTGTAGGAAGGGGGTGTGCAGGGTGTGCGGTCCGCCCTGGGTGTCATCCTTGAGGGGGTGACAAAATGGCCTACTGCGGGGCCTGGGAGTGACATGGTGGCTCAGGGCCCTGCACTGCCTGAAACGGCAGCGTGGGGCTTGCATCTGCCAGGCGGACTCTGTGGGCAGCTCACCATGGCACCCCCTGGGCGAATCGCCATGGCGCCCCCATGGGTGAATCACTGCTGCAGCCCCATGGGCGAATCACCCCGTCCCTGTGGGCAGATCACCCTGCCCCTGCTGCTCCGGGTGCCGGAGCAGCTAGCTAGGCCCCTGAATGGACCTTGAGCCTAGGATTGTTGCAAATCTCTTTGGTTGGTTGGTTTAAGCCAGGCTTTGCAACCCTGGTGCTCTAAAAAGGTTTTGGGCTTCAAATCCCATCACCCAGCATGTAGTTAAGCATATTTAGAGGGCACCAGGTTGACGAGGGCTGAGATAGACAGAGAGCTGTTGCAATTTTCCTACATTCTGCATGAGCACAGCAGTTTCCAAGGCTTGCCTGGTGGCCCTGCTGCCCTTCTGTGCTGCCATTTGTGCCAGTTCCTGTGCGAGACGAGCAGCAGCCATTGTCGGGGTGACTTTGGAGGTGACGACTTAAGCTGTGATCTCTATTTGCACATAACTGTCAGCTCAGCAGCGAAAACACATTTGGCTGCAAATCCATGAGCTGCTGTAGTGACACATTGATTTGAGTGCCTGTTTGAGAAACGGAACGAGTCGCTGGGGAAGCTTCCCAATGCTGAGATTCTCCAAGCACTGCGTGAGAAGGCCGGCTCCTTGCTTCTTCCATGCAAAATATCTCGGGGAAGCAAGACATTTGACACCTAGTCATACAGCAGGGGACAAAGCATTATTTTAGCACGTGTGGAATTGTTGGCTGTGACTATCACTCACAACCCTGATAGTCACAGTGAAATCTGTCAGTTTTTTCTACCAGAATCGTAAGAGTTGGAAAGTGCAATGCGGCTGCCCCCTGCAGGTGGAAAATGAGTCGTGCTTCGCCACCAAGCTGTGCTGTGTTTGTTTCAAGACTGGAATGGTTATCTGCCAGATATCGAAGGAACTGCTGTGGCCCCAGCGGCAAAAGCCCTGCTTTAAACAGGAAACAACTATTGATCAGGAGCAAACTGATCCAGAGCAATAATAGTAATAGCTGGCTAAGAATAGATGAACAAAAGACGAGCCTGCTGGATCAAGCCGATGGCCCATCTCATCCAGCCTCCTGTTCTCACAGTGGCCAGCCAGATGGCCATAGGAAACCAGCAAGCAGGAGCCGAGACAGTATGGTGTAGTGGTTAGAGAGCTGTAGTAGGAGCTGGGAGAACAAGGTTCAAATCCCCACTCTTGCCATGAAGCTCACCGCATGACCTCTCGATCTAACCTACTCCACAGGGTTGTTGTGAGGGTAAAATGGGAAGGAAGAGAACTATGTACACCACCTTGAGTTTGGGAGAAATAAGGTGGGATAAATCGAAAGAAAGAAAGAATCTGTAGCACTATAATCAGGAAAACTGATGCAATATTCCCCAGGTCTGAATGCGCTCTTATTTTGAGCATGTGTCTTCAAACAGGTGAGGCCCTCCTTGAAAGTAACACAGTCATCCACCACATCTACTGTTCCCCGTCACTGCGCTGCGTACAGACTGCACACTATATTTTGAAAGGTAAGAAGATGGCAGCAAGGTAGCTGGATTAAATAATAATCGCACCCATCCGGTTGTCCCCAGCCACTCTGGGCATATATATAAGAGCATACTAAAACATCAAACATTAAAAACTTCCTGATACAGGGCTGCCTTCATGCTTTGTTCATATTCTCTTCCTTCCTTCCTTCCTTCCTTCCTTCGAAACTCCAGTGGTTCGTTCTGGAAACAGGTGATGTCTCATTTTGATAGCCATAACTAGGCGGGGGGGGAGGGAGGAATTTATATGCAAGGGGAGGCACAGATGCCCTGGAGTGAAAATTCCCCCCCCCCCAAAAAAAAAACCCATAGCTGGACAAAACCTACAGCTACTTTGCATACCTGCAGCTTCTGAGGCTCCATCCCCCAAAGGGGATGAAAAATAGTGGATTTTTAGTTAAGGGCTCCCAAAATATTTGCAAAATCAGGAATGAGAAAATGCCTTGGAGTGTCTATTTATGTTCCTGTCCTGGACTTGTAATGCGTTTCTTATTCAGAGCGCCCTATTTTTTACTGTTCAACTCCCAGGCTTGCAGCAGGAAAATAATCTGAAGATTCGTGTAGAGCCGGGCTTATTCGAGTGGACGAAATGGGTCGCTGGGAGCTCCCTGCCTGCCTGGATACCTCCAGTGGACTTAGCGGCAGCCAGTTTGAGTGTGGATACAACTTATAGGTAAGAGAAGCCAATGTGGTGCATTTTTTGTTTGTTTGGGACCTTGTGAAGCTGGAACACAGGGAGCTTGCGTTCCTCTACCCCAGCCTTACCCAGATTAATGCCTTCCAAATCTTTTGGACTACATCTTCCTAATGGACCGTGGCCCATTCTGGCGGGGGTTGATGAGAGGTGATCAGTGGAATTTCTCCCCTTTTTAGTGGGAAAGGACCGTGGCTCAGTGGTAGTAGAGTGCATGCTTTGAATGAAGAAGATCCACAGTTCAATCCTGGGCATCTCCCAAGTAGGGATGGACAAGCTCCCATCTGAAATCCTGACAAGCCACTACCAGTCAGGGTAGACATATTGATGGCATGGTCAGCCAATAATTTGTCGGAGTATAGGGCAGTTTCCTCTGTAGTTCAAAACTTCTGGAGGAGGGCAACAGGTTGAGGGTAATAGTTCTGCACACTGAAAAGCCCAACCAGCTCATCCGTGGTGCATTTAATCAGCAGCCTACTCAGGCCAATGGGATTTACGTCAGGAAAGACGCAACTGCCAGGGAGCTGAACTGAAGCCTGGAAGGTGATGCTCTGTAAGCATCTCTGCATCTGGAGAATGAATATGGAGGGTTAGGGAGCCAGACAGATGTTTTGCAAGAGGAGGGGGGAGGCACGATGCCTAAAGTAAAAGGCAGAGAGCAAGCTCCTCGTTGTTAGGAGCCAGACGAGTTATGAGCTGTAGTTTGTGGCCATTTGGAGGAAAGGAAAAGAAGAAGAAGAAGAAGAAGAAGAAGAAGAAGAAGAAGAAGAAGAAGGCAATCAAACATTAAAAACTTCCCTAAACAGGGCTGCCTTCAGATCATAACTGGTATTAATTGATAACTGGCATTGATAACTGATATTCAGAAGCATGACTGATTCCATCTGTGATGGGAGAGCATAGCCACTGTGGCTAGTAACTATGTTGAACTGTAGAATGCTAGATATGTTTATGTAAAATGTTTTAGACCACAGATATATTTTTAAAATAGGAGCATAGAATCATAGAGCTGGAAGGGACCCCCCGGTCATCTAGTCCAACCCCCTGCAATGCAGACATCTCTGCTAAAGCACCCATGACAGATGGCCATCCAACCTCTGCTTAAAAGCCTCCAAGGAAGGAGAGTCTGCCGTCTTCCGAGGGAGACCGTTCCACTGTGTGTGTGTGTGTGTGTGTGTGTTTGTATGTTTGTGTGTGTGTGTGTTTGCGCTCCATGAACACATGGTAGAAGCCTAGCCATTTTTATTCTGGTAAAGAGTTCAGCTTCCTTCTAGCTTTTTCTTCTCATCCCAACCATCTTGCATTTGAAGAAGTGGAGGCTGAGTGGGAGGATCCCTGGGATTGTCGTTGGGTTTTTTGAATTCATGCGGAGGTGGAAGGTTGGATCCTGGCCTCCCCCAACCCCACAAGGCATTATTACAGGTGGACAGGCCACCTTCTCCTCTTCTGCTTCTCCTCTCCCATTCCTGCTTTACTTCTACACTTACATTTTTCTGTCCACAGACCTCATATACCGGTGAGCAAATTAGGCATTTCAGAGTCATACGATACATACATCAGCAGAAGCTACCAAGTAACAAAAGAGATCCTAAGTGAATGCAAAGCCAAAGGCAAGTAAAACCCCACCTTGCAGTCAAGGATTTGCTCGGTTCAGTTGGGCTAACTCCCAAGCCAGGGGTGTACAGAATTGCATCCTCAATAAGTCGCTTTGTGGCGTCACGTATACATCTAAGGGAGGTTGAAAGGATCATGCAGCTAAACCACAGAAAGCAGCAGGGAGTGTCCCCAAGGTGGAGTGAGAGATTCATTCTCTCTAATTCCAATGGTCAGAGCGTCATTGCTCATGTAACCAAATTGCAGCATTCACGCACAACAGGGGAGCTATAAGCTGCTTTTGATGAACTGCAAGATTTGTAGTAGTACCTATATATATATATATATACAGTGGTGCCTCGCAAGACGAAATTAATCCGTTCCGCGAGTCTCTTCGTCTTGCGGTTTTTTCGTCTTGCGAAGCACGGCTATTAGCGGCTTAGCAGCTATTAACGGCTTAGCGGCTTTAAGAAAAAGGAAACAAACTCGCAAGAACTCGCAAGACGTTTCGTCTTGCAAAGCAAGCCCATAGGGAAATTCGTCTTGCGGAACGACTCAAAAAACGGAAAACCCTTTCGTCTAGCGAGTTTTTCGTCTTGCGAGGCATTCGTCTTGCGGGGCACCACTGTATATATATATCCTAAGAAAAATTCAAAGGGACCCAAAAACAGCCAAACCAGTGATGACCAAGCATGCTCGCTGAGCATGCAGTGCTCCCTGACTGGCAGACTGGGGAAATTGAAAAGGGGCAGGGAATGGAATGGAATGGAATCACAGCAGCATTTTCTTGAGGGCCCCAATTGTCTGTATTTAAAGTAATCCCAAGAGCATTTTTGCAGCTACCTAATGATGAATGTGCATGTGTAAATTGGCCTTTTTGCTAGCTCTGCTCAGGCCTTTTTGCCCTTCACACATTTAAGAACAAAAGAGTCGTGCTGGACAAGGCCAATGACCCATCTCGTCCAGTGTCCAGTTTTCGCAGTGGCCAACCAGATGCTTGCCAGATACACTTAGGACCCAAGCACAAGAGCACCCTCCCCTCCTATGACATCCAGCAACTGGTATTCAGAAGCATTGTTGCCTCTGAATGTGGACGAAACAAAATTAAAGAAAACCTTTCCAGTAGCACCTTAGAGACCAACTAAGTTTGTTATTGGTATGAGCTTTTGTGTGCATGCACGAAATGGGACACGGGTGGCGCTGTGGGTTAAACCACAGAACCTAGGACTTGCCGATCAGAAGGTTGGTGGTTCGAATCCCCGCAATGGGGTGAGCTCCCGTTGCTCGGTCCCTGCTCCTGCCAACCTAGCAGTTCGAAAGCACATCGAAGTGCAAGTAGATAAATAGGTACCACTCTGGCAGGAAGGTAAACGGCGTTTCCGTGCACTGCTCTGGTTTGCCAGAAGCGGCTTAGTCATGCTGGCCACATGACCCAGAAGCTGTACGGCGGCTCCCTCGGCCAATAAAGTGAGATGAGCGCCGCAACCCCAGAGTCAGCCACGACTGGACCTAATGGTCAGGGGTCCCTTTACCTAAGGTACTGGAAGGATTTTTAAAATTTTGTTTTGACTACGGCAGACCAACACGGCTACCTACCTGTAACTAGAACTCTGAATGTGGAGGCAGAGCATAGCCATCGTGTCTAGTAGCCATCAAGAGCTTTCTCCTCCATGAATTTGCCTACTAGACAAGATGGCCACCCAAGTTGGCGGCACATCACTGCAGAAGCACATAACTGAGTGGAGGTCATGTGAGGAGGTATGGGGAGGAAGCCCTGCCCCCTCAAATACATGACCCTCCCCCTTTACTTACAACTCTCCATGAGTGAGAGGGTCAACCTCTGAAAGCAGGAAGCCCCCTTGGCTCACGGGAGCTCCTTGTCCAATTCGGAACCTCATTTAGAAGGTGATTTCAAGGAGTGAAAATAGTCGGAAGGGGGGAGGGTTAAGCACTCTACCCTTCCCACCACTTCCCCACTCGAAATCACAGGCTCCTGAGGTTGGTTTTGCATTATAAACTTCATCACAAACAGGTGGCTGTGATGTGTCAATTTCTTTATGTTCTCTCCCTGCAGGGAATAACATTTTGATAGTGGCCCATGCATCCTCCCTGGAAGCTTGTACTTGCCAACTGCAAGGACTGTCTCCTCAGAATTCCAAGGACTTTGTACAGATGGTCAGAAAGGTAATGGGAACCCACCAGTAATGGAAAGATCTTTAGATGTATAGCGAGGTGGACCCTCTGTTACCCCCAAGTGAAAAATCTTCCAAGTACAGTTGTACTCTGGAAGTCGAATGGAATCTGTTCCGGAAGTCCGTTTGACTTCTAAAGCGTTCAGAAACCAAAGCGCAGCTTCCTATTGGCTGCTGGAAGCTCCAGCAGCCAATCAGAAGCCGCTGAAGCTCCGTCAGACATCCAGCTTCGAAAAGAACGTTTGAAAACCGGAACACTCACTTCCAGGTTTTGATCATTCATGAGCCGATTTGTTCGGGAGCCAAGGCATTTGAGATCCAAGGTACGACTGCACAAAGATCATCGTATCCCATTGTCTGAGCTCCAGAAGGCTGGAGAATTAATGGCTGTGTTCCATTTTTGTGACTTTTTCCCTAGTTGTATATGTATATTTGAGCTTTTGCATGGCATAAAAGACACTTCTGCAAGTTTAATGCTCATTTCTGAGTTATTTGCTTCCAGAAAAAGAATCTGTTTGCAAATAATATGGAATTGAGTGCTAATTCCGTGCTGCATACAGTGGTTCTCAACCTGTGGGTCCCCAGATGTTGTTGGACTACAACTCCCATCATCCCTGAGCTCTGGCCTTGCTAGCTAGGGGTGATGGGAGTTGTAGATCAACAACATCTGGGGACCCACAGGTTGAGAAAGGCTGCACTATAATAATTATTCTACTGTAGTTCCCCTCTCCTCTCCCCTACTCCTTCTGGTTTTTAATCCATCTCTTTTATGAACCACAGATTCCATACTTGGGTTTCTGTTGCTGTGAAGAACTTGGAGAGACGGGTCTCTGGCAACTTACTGACCCACCCATCCTCCCTCTCACACATGGACCAACCGGCGGCTTTAACTGGAGAGAAACTTTGCTACAAGAATAAGAAAGGGCGACCAAAGTGCTGGCCTTTCAAAAGACTGGAGAATGTCTCATGTATTGGAACTCTTCCCCCTCTCCCCCTTCTAATTACTGATGATGGAGAAAATTATTCATAACCTTTTAGATGGATTTGAAAAAATAACACTCTAGCATATCTTCCACAGAGTGGCATTCGTGCGTCTAGAAAAATAGCTCAATATAGACGTATGCTTGGATTGTGGAACAATATATGTGTACTCAAACACTCTCTCGTTCTCTCTTCAGGCTTCTCTACAGCAGAAATGTCTTTGTGACGTAAGCTACTGAGCTTTAATATATAATTTTTTTAAAAAAAAAATATGAATTAAGCTCCAGGGAGGAGAACCAGTTTTCACTGCCTTCTGTATAACATTAGTGACAATTAGGACTGTGTTCTAAATTGTGGACTTCTCTGTTTTGTTGTTTGTTAGATTTTTAATTTTTCACAGGATTGACCTTTGCCGTTTCATTCCGAGTCATTTCTGGTAAAGTACACCCCACACCGTATTTTGCTAAGTTATTATATGTGCCACATCTACATTCCACAAGATTGCCCCCAAAACATGTGACGGAAGGAAGTGGAATGGCTCCCCCGATCAGAACTAGTGTAGAATTATGTGCCTCAGGGGTTTGGTTTTTTTGTTGTAAATGCCCTTAAGGTATTCCTGGTTTTGCACCTTAGGCCTGTCTCACGCCCTGTGTTCCTCCTACTGCACCTAATGCAAAATTGCTAGTCTGGTGTCCCACTCAGCCAACAGTGGCTTATTATAATGAATGTAGGTATAAGTTTTCTGTTTCCACAGATGGACAGGCCCTGCTTTTCCTTTTGAGCATACGAGCCCCTCGACACTGACATTATGAGATCTGGCAAGCGAGGATCAGAGCAGCGCTCATGTAATTTGGTGACCCTGCAGAGAATTCGACCTTGTCCCTCAAAGCCTTGGAGAGCATGCTGTCCACACACTTAATGCCCAATATCGAATCGGCGAAAATAGTTTTGCTTTTTGCTTCCCTTCCCCCACCCCACCCCCAACACAAGAGACAGAGAGAAAACTTCAGATGGGTGGGAGAAGCTGAGGAGATCCACTTACTGAGCCAGTCCAGAGAACTACTAACTTATTGATTGCTTTTGGCTCAGCTCACTAAACCCCTCCATCTCCTAATCAGGTCTTTCAGATTGGCCAGACCAGTCATGGGACTGGACTGAGTCTGAAACGGACCATCCAGAAACCCTCGGAAAAAGCTTCATTGGCTAGCAACTTGATTCTGCAGACAATACAAAATATTCTGGCAGAGGGGGCCGAGGGGACCATCCTGCCGAATGGACCATCCTGCTCCCTGAACACAGCTGCCAATTTGACTCTGCTTTTAATCCACCAAGTTGCCTGGCTTGAAGGAGCAACTTCTGCAGGGTTTATGGATTCTCCATTGTGGAATTCATGTTAAAAGCCCAAACACCAGTAAACATGTCTTGTTTGAAGGTGTGTGTTTTTTCTGACAATCTGTAGATCAGTATACATTTCAGTAGATCTGTTGAGATTTCAGCAGACCTGAAAATAGCAGAATAGATTCAGAAACCTGTGTGGAGAAACCACCACTGATACAGGGTGACCGCAAGGAGCCAAGCATCCGTTGTGCTCGCTTTTTTAATGTGGGGTCTGACGGGGAATTTGTGCAATTGGAGGATCTGGTTTTTTAAAAAAAAAAAAAAACATAGCATAGCTAGTGTACTGCCACCATTGGAGCATTGTAAATATTTCAGATATCTTTGAAATGAGCCCAAAGGGATCTTGGTGGGGACAGAATTGTTATGAGGAAGGGCTCATTCACACATCGCTTTGGTCTCCCAGTACTTGATAACTCTTAACAAGGTGGCCTTCTGTTTTGAGCATCGTGCTTAGAGGTCATATGGAAGCTTCATCTCTGGTGTTTGAACCTTGGTGGCTTTCTCACACAGGCAAAGCATCTCTTGTGACAAACATGCATGCTCAGCAGTGCCGGCCAAGGCTGGTGGTATGAGCTCTGTTGACATGCCCCCTAATGGCAACTTCCCATGCTTACAGATTATTTCCATGTTTCCTTATATTTTGCACGATGACCGGTCCCTTGGACAAGGGCTGTTAAGGGCATGCCTCTCACCCATTTGCATTTTTTACTTGCAATATGACGATTCCTTTCTGTAACAGGCCCAAATCCAAATGCCACGCAATTCCAGAGAAGCCACCTTTCGGACTCCTAGAGCTGAACAAAAGTAGAAATGCATGACCCCCCCCCCCAAAAAAGGAGAGAGGACAAAAGTGGGCACTGATTTGCATAATCTTTGCATCTGTTTATTTATATGTATAGATGCACATTGAGAAATAGAAATTAAGTACATCTCACCATGGTGGAGAAGACTGTGACCAGGGGATCTGGGTGCCTCCTCCATCTCCTGTCCTGGTGCTATCAGTAGATGGGCATCTTCAAGGCCCCTCAGCTGCTCTCCCTTCTTAGCATTCTTTATCATTAAACTGGATTTGGACCGGACAGCCCTTCAAACAGAAGACTACACTCCATAAAGTAGGAACAAAGGGCCACCCTAGCAGACAACCAATTTTTAAAGTAATGACCACTATTAGCCGAGAGTTTGTTGTTATTGCTATTGTTCAGGGCACACACTCACATTACCGTAGCCTATATTTTTGTGAAGTTTGCACTCCCAAACTTGCTGTGTAAGAAAACACTCTTGGCAAGTGAGCTCTGTCTTCAAAAGGACCGCTGGGGCGCTTTAGTCAAGTCAGCAAATCACATTTATCTGAGTTAGTCATTGGTTTCGTCAGATGTACCCTGGCAAGTGAGGAAGAGGGAGCTGTTGTGTACATGTCGTCAAGCCCAGTGGCACCACTTGGCACCCCTGGGAAGCTTCTGGGGCCCAGTGCCCCACAAGGCCCACTACTGATACCTGCCATGGGAAACCATTAGACCTTTTTTTGCCCAGTTCCAGGCCACCATTTTTATGTCCCACAATGCTCCCGTTGTAGAAGCATTCCAAGGCATTATGGGAAATTAAAATGGTGGCTTCCAGACACCCAGTAGGTTGCCGGAAAGCTATTGGACCGTTACAGCCGCTGCCCTCATTTGCTGCCATTGCCAGGTAACCCCAGCAGGGGGCCTACCAGAGTGCACCTTAAAGGTCCCCTCAAACCTGGAGCCTTGACAAGCATGTAGCTACACCTCGTAATGGGATTACTACATGCAGTGATCTCTGAGGAGCACCCAAAACATTATGGGAACAAGAAACTCTGTGAAATAGGCCTGCTGTTTACATGAGGTAATATTACCATAAGTTCTCCTGGAAGACAAACCCAAGTGCATAGGGGAAAAAACTGAGTAACAAATTCGGATAATGAAAGCTCTGTTTGTCAAATGCTACCTGGAGTATTACCCTGAAGTGACAGATGTGTCATTGAGATTTGTTGACCAAATTATTTCTTTGAGGAACCACTAATGTCATTGAGAACCTTCTTTGATGCAGGTGGCTCAAGGCAATGGTGGAGAACCTGTAGGGCTCTGGTAGTTTTAGACTGCAACTTGCTTCATCCCTGAGCCCCATTCCTATGATAATCTAAAGCAGACTTTCCCAACCTGGTGTCAGCTTGGACCACAGTTCTCATTAGCTCTGCCCAACACGGCCAGTGCTCAGGAATAATGGAAGTTATAGTCAGTCATACCTTCCATCCAAAAGGCCACAGGTCCCCCCTACATTTGCTGATCTTTTTTAACCAAGCTGTTGGCTTTCTTTCATTCCCTCAGCTTGCCACCCATGCATACTTGCTTTTTTAAAAAAAATAACACCCTCCATGTATACTGATTGGGTGAATGAACAGAAGGCGCTAACCTGAAACTAGAGTCGGCAGAATGCTGTTTGAGTGCAATATGTATATTTCCTTAACTCGCAACGTGTACATTTAACATGTAAAATGCCACAGGACATTCTCAAATGCATTATTTTTTACCAGGGATGTATAGTGAAAAGTCGGGGAGATAAAAGTTACACGACAGCAGTGAAGCAAACTGTGTTGTTTGCAGTTGTTATTAGCTGCTGGTATTTTTGGGAATACATATATATATCTATCTATATATGCATATGTAATTTAAACTATTTTTGGCTATGTACAGACATTTTGAGGATGAATTGGTTTGTGGCTTCTTCAGATCTGCTTTCTGAGGAAGAGTTTTAATGAACTGAATGACAATCATGACCAAAATGTTGGTTACTGGTGTATATTTCATTCTGGGGGCGGGATAGCTTGCCAGGGTGGGGCAGTTGTTCTTTGCACTGATAGCTTGCAAGTCGTTAACTCTTAATTATGTACTGTACAAAAGTATGTTTGAACAGCATACAATGGTCAAAAATGCATCAAGATGCTGCCGCGATTGGAACATTTTGTTCCCTGGTCTTGTTGGAATGTTATTGATAACATCAAGCGAGACCCATTCCCAGTGGAATGATTGGATCAGTGCACATTTTTGCTCTCTTGGCTATTTAGGTTGCAGTCCTATGCACACTTAACTTGGGAGTAGCACCTCTGAAAATCATAGGATTTACTTCTGGGGAAAGCATGCCGAAGAGTGTGTATTTTAAAAAGCCAATTCTATTCCAGAAAATGGACAAAGAGGGAGGAAGACTATTGTACAGTACAAAAGTATATTTTTGGATGTTAAAGATTTTTCTTTTCCTTCTCAGATGTTGGGTTTCTAAAAAAATAACACCCATACCACTGGCACTTCCAGTATTTTCAGAGTGGAGAAAGATTTTGCGTTAGAGGAATTGGTGCTAATAAGACAACACACTTCCAATTATAGAAGTGCTTTACAATACCAAGGGAAAACCTTTTGCCTCCTCCAGAAGATTTCATTAGGATGCTTAAAAAAAAAAAAAACCAAGAAGAGGGAAAATTGCTGCTTACGTTTTGTGTTACTGCTCATCTTCCATGTTTTTGTCACTAGAAAATTGATTTCAATAATAATAAAAATTATTCCGTCTGAGTTTCTCACAATCACGAAGCTTGAAAGTGTTGAATCATGCTGTTTCTTCTGCAAAAGTGTTGTGTTCTCCCACCAAATTTCTGTTTTGGAGCAGGTGGCAGGAAGATTGCAGAAAAGGAGGGGTGTTGACAAAAGGTGGAGCAGAACCTTCTCTGCAAGGAAAAATAGAAGCACTGGAATAATAATAATAATAATAATAATAATAATAATAATAATAATAATAATAATAATATAATAATAATAATAATAATAATAATAATAATAATAATAATAATATTTATACCCCGCCCATCTGGCTGAGTTTCCCCAGCCACTCTGGGCAGCTCCCAATCAAATGTTAAAAACAGTACAGCATTAAATATTAAAAACTTCCCTAAACTTAAACCTCGGAGGCAGTGTGCCTCGGAATGACATTTGCCTGGGAATCACAAGTGGGGAGAGTGTTATTGCATTCAGGCACTTCTTTCAGGCTTCCCATATGGGGTCTGGTTGAGTCTTGTAAGAACAGGATACTGGACTAGATTTATCTTTGTTCTGATCTAAGAGGGCCGTTCTTTTATGTTCTTAAAACTAAGGGGGGGCTTGATAAATTTTTGTGGAAAAGATGGAAGTGCAGGACACAGACACATTCTTCAACCCCTCTCATAATATCTATGGATAACTATGGAGTTGCAATCTTAAGTGCGCATACGGGAGTGTAAAGCCCCCTTTTATCTGCCCCACCTGTGTTTCGCTAGCTGTTGAGGGCACCCTAACATTATACATATCTGAAAGTTCTAGGGCATTTTTAATGAAGGTTTTAACTTTTTTAAAGGCAATTTTGGTTCCTTTTTCTGTTCCCCACACCTCATTCTCATGTTCAATTGCTGCCCCTCCTTTTTAAACAAAACATGTGAAATTGTGTTGAGGAAGAAAACTGAGGCAGGGAAAGTACGTCTTCTGTCCATTGTGCATCCTTCTCAGTTCTCCATACCTTTATTTGGACACTTCAAAGCTTTCAACATGAAAAATAGAAGGGGGGGGAGGGTGGGTTTTTTAACAGTTACATTCAATTTTTGAGAACGGATTTGAAATTTGAAAGGTGAAAGTAAAGCCCCCTTCAGCTCTGTAGGACTTTACTTCTGTGTAAACATGTTCAGGATTTTGCTGTGAGTCAGCCAATAGTGTTGACTGGTAGCAGGATCAAGACAGGCAGGGCATTAGTCATTTATACATGACGTTTCATATCCTCCCTTTCCTCCAAGGAGCTCAAAGTGGTGTCCATGGTTCTGTTCCTCCCCATTTTTATCCTCACAACAACCCTGACTTGGTGACTGGCCAAAGTCACCAAGAGAGTTTCATGGCTGGGTGGAGATTGGAACTCTGCTCTGCCAGGTCCTAGTCTGACGCTAACCTCTACACCACACTGTCTCTCCAGTGTATTCCATTACATAACTTGGGTGCCCAAATGCATCTATTCCTTTCCGTTTCTCTTGGTTTCCCTTTTTCTCCCGTCTTGTTTGTCACATTTCTGCAGCATTATGCATTTTTTTAAAAATGATGAAAATTTGTAATCAGGATAGTATGCATTTCCTCTCGTACACAGTTTTGTCTACTACACATTTTACAAGCCATTTTGTATGATGTTTTGGTTTGTGTGTTGTTTTCATGAACATGTGCATTTTTATGCATGCTTCCTCTTACTAGACGCATTTTTGCTCACCCTTTTTGGCTGAGGAACCGCACCACAAAATTTGGAGAAGCGTGGGTTTCAAAGGACGGTGCTTTTTCTTCGATTCACATGTTATTTCAGGAAGTGCAAACGAGAGGGGTTCCTGTGAAAATCCAAACCAAATTTCTCGCCATCCCTTTTCTGTGGGATACCCTACCATATGGAGCTCTGATAAAGCAGCTTGGGGGGGAAATCCCAACGGGCCAACGCAGCTTGGTAAATACAGTGGTAAAGGTAAAGGTAAAGGTACCCCTGCCCATACGGGCCAGTCTTGACAGACTCTGGGGTTGTGCGCCCATCTCACTTAAGAGGCCAGGGGCCAGCGCTGTCCGGAGACACTTCCGGGTCACGTGGCTAGTGTGACAAAGCTGCATCTGGCGAGCCAGCGCAGCACACGGAAACGCCGTTTACCTTCCCGTCAGTAAGCGGTCCCTATTTATCGACTTGCACCCGGGGGTCCTTTCGAACTGCTAGGTTGGCAGGCGCTGGGACCGAGCAACGGGAGCGCACCCCGCCGCGGGGATTCGAACCGCCGACCTTTCGATCGACAAGCCCTAGGCGCTGAGGCTTTTACCCACAGCACCACCCGCATCCCGCGTCAAATACAGTGGTACCTTGGGTTAAGTACTTAATTCGTTCCAGAGGTTTGTACTTAACCTGAAACTGTTCTTAAGCTGAAGCACCACTTTAGCTAATGGGGCCTCCTGCTGCTGCTGCTGCACCGCCGGAGCCCAATTTCTGTTCTTGTCCTGAAGCACTATTTCTGGGTTAGCGGAGTCTGTAACCTGAAGCATGTGTAACCTGAAGTACCACTGTAAACACTAGTATGCACAACCACCTTAATGAACAAGCTGAACTGGAAATTGCGTGAGATAGTTTTGCCTTTTCCATATACGAAGCAGCAAGGAAAGATGAAGTGCATGTTGGCCTTCAGAGAGGAATCAGCAGAGGTGTCTGATGTCAGCACTGCCCACATAGAAAGTTAATTTTAGAGCAGCCTAACAAGTGGCTACAAGTTTTCTTGACTTCAGCCACAGAGGAAAGTGTCCCCCGTCTGAAAGATGTGAAGGGAGAGAGGAAAGGGGGCAGATGCTGTCACTGCTGAGGTCATGGCACATGCACTTGGTTGCCTGTTGAAAAGGAGGAGCCAGCCGCAGGCCCCTGACTTCAGAAGCAAAGAGGAAGTTTCTTCGGTAGCAACTTGGGGGCTGCCGTTGAAGCAGACACCGTCCCAACATGTCCCTCGTCTCGGCACTCTTTGAGCTGGCTTTGCTGCTGCAGCTGCTACAAGGTAGGTCACAACAGTTATTTATTATTATCATTTACTGCATTTGTATCCCACTTTTCCTCTGGGCAGCTCCAAGTGATGTATGTAGTTCTCCCCATTTTATCCTCACAAGAGCACTGTGAGGTAGGCTGAGAGCGAGAGGCTGGCCTACGGTCATCCAGTGAGCTTCATGGCTGAGGAGGGATTCAGCCCTCATCTCCCAAGTCCAGTGCTCTAACCACTACACCACCACTGGTTCTCTGAGCTCATTTGGGTGACGTTCAAACTTGCCAAGTTCAGGGAGAGCCATCCCTGCACCAGGACACCCAGAAGATTCTGGGAAATGGTCTAGGGTGACACACTTCAACTTTTTCAGACCTATACACACCTTTAAAAAAGATAAAGGGACCCCTGACCATTAGGTCCAGTCGTGGCCGACTCTGGGCTTTATTGGCTGAGGGAGCCGGCGTACAGCTTCCAGGTCATGTGGCCAGCATGACTAAGCCACTTCTGGCGAACCAGAGCAGCACACGGAAATGCCATTTACCTTCCCGCCAGAGCGGTACCTATTTATCTACTTCACTTTGACGTGCTTTCAAACTGCTAGGTTGGCAGGAGCAGGGACTGAGCAACGGGAGCTCACCCCGTTGTGGGGATTCGAACTGCCGACCTTCTGATCAGCAAGTCCTGGGCTCTGTGGTTTAACCCACAGCACGTCCCTATACCCGCGTCCCTATACCCACCTTTACCCAAAGACAATTTGAGCAGCAGAGTCTGGTGCATCAGGGCAAATGGTGCACTGCCCCACCAATCTCAAATTATTATTTTTATTAATTTTCCAAATGATTACAAATCAAACCGAATTACTTCAATTCAATACAATTTCTTCAACTCAGGTTTCCCGCTCCTGTTGCAAACAATGATCATTTCCTCCCGTAGCTGCATAATTTCTTATTTAGTGTCCACTTGTCCTTCACTTACCGTTAAACCGTTCTTCCAGCTGACTGCTTTTTTCATCCTTACAAACAGTGCCTCTGTTACATCTTATAAATACAAAATCCATTTCATGTGTGTAGTCCCACTGCCCAACCAATCTCAGCCTGGCCTCACCTGCCTGTAGTGGCATAGCGTGGGTTGCTGGTACCCAGGGCGGGCAAGCTGCTGGAGTGCTCCCGCCCTCATCGGAGCCAATCAGGATTGCACTGCACCACCTGCCCACCCACACAGGGAGGAGCCCAGTCAGCCGACATGGCCCTTGCCAGGTGTATCCCACTGATGCCTGCAGAGAAGAGCACCAGGTGAGGCCATGCTGGGATAGCCCCTCGCTTGCCTCCCTCACTGTGGGCCTGGACTGCTCATTAGAAGCCATCTCTACCTTCCCCATAATAGCCTTGCTTTATCCTCCTATTAAGGGACATGGGTGGCGCTGTGGGTTAAACCACAGAGCCTAAGACTTGCCGATCAGAAGGTTGGCGGTTCGAATCCCCGTGATGGGGTGAGCTCCCATTGCTCAGTCCCTGCTCCTGCCAACCTAGCAATTCGAAAGCACGTCAAAGTGCAAGTAGATAAATAGGTACCGCTCTGGCGGGAAGGTAAATGGCGTTTCTGTGCGCTGCTCTGGTTCGCCAGAAGCGGCTTCGTCATTCTGGCCACATGACTCAGAAGCTGTATGCCGGCTCCCTCGGCCAATAAAGCGAAATGAGCGCCACAACCCCAGAGTTGGTCACGACTGGACCTAATGGTCAGGGGTCCCTTTACCTTTTTATCCTCCTATTAGCTTATACTGGGAAACACTAGATCCCCAGGCTGGAAAGCTTGGCAAGCCACACTCCTTCAGGAACTGGGGTGGGAAGGCATTGTCTTTCCAGTAAGTCTGGTATGGCTGGATGTGTGAGGACAGGATCCAGGCATCACCAAAAGGCTTCCAATTGGGGAGCCGCACCGACAATTGCCACCTCTTAGTCTCCCAAGCCTACACAGAACCTAGCTCTGTTTGGGGTGGGGAATGGGCTGTGAAGCAGCTCTGGGTGTTTCTGTTGTTGTTGTTTAGTCGTTTAGTTGCGTCCGACTCTTCGTGACCCCATGGACCAGAGCACGCCAGGCACTCCTGTCTTCCACCGCCTCCCGCAGTTTGGTCAAACTCATGCTGGTAGCTTCGAGAACACTATCCAACCATCTCGTCCTCTGTCGTCCCCTTCTCCTTGTACCCTCCATCTTTCCCAACATCAGGGTCTTTTCCAGGGAGTCTTCTCTTCTCATGAGGTGGCCAAAGTATTGGAGCCTCAGCTTCAGGATCTGTCCTTCCATTGAGCACTCAGGGCCGATTTCCTCCAGAATGGATAGGTTAGATCTTCTTGCAGTCCATGGGACTCTCAAGAGTCTCCTCCAGCACCATAATTCAAAAGCATCAATTCTTCGGCAATCAGCCTTCTTTATGGTCCAGCTCTCACTTCCATACATCACTACTGGGAAAACCATAGCTTTAACTATACGGACCTTTGTTGGCAAGGTGATGTCTCTGCTTTTTATGATGCTGTCTAGGTTTGTCATTTTTCTGGGTGTTTCTACAAAGACAAAAACATGACTACATGGGTGTTAACTGGAACTTATAGATAAGCTTTGTGAGGGGCGGTCAGCTTTAGGTGAGTCCTGTTGAAGATGGTGTGCTGCATTTAGCCTGTGTTTAATGATGTTGCGTACAAGGCTGAGGTGCAGCTTGGTGCCATTCAAGTGGGTTTAGCATGCATTCACTGCACTCTGGACTGAGAATGTGCAACCACCTCTCATCTCTCATCACAGCAACCACCATCTAGACCAGAAGTCCTCAATTTTTCAGTTCCAGGATCTGCCTTGAACCCAAACAAACCTTGGGAGCCCCACTTCTCAAGTTTTTTTACCATGCATTGGTATGGTAGTACTGCTGCGATCCACTGTAGATCAAGCTACGACCAAGCTGCAGGTTTCTTCAAACCCACCAGCTGAAGACTGATGGTGCCCTGATGGTCTTGGCCATATACACAGCACTTAAGGTTGCCTGTCATAACCCTGGATTTTCTAATGCCTCACATGGGAAAGTTTTGGGGTTTTTTGCACAAATGAATCTGGGCTGTGCGCACTCACACATAAACTTCCTTTCTCTTTTAGTTTCAAGCTTTTGAACGGATATGTTTTTGCCTCCACTGATGCTAGTGGCAGGAAGCAGTGAAGTTATAGAAAGGTCCCATAGAAAACCACAAGCACAGCTTTCTCTGCCTTGATACAGTGAAGTTTGCAATGTTTTTCTTTAAAGTCAGAGCTTCAGAAGGTTCTCATGTACCCTAACAATTTCATCATATGAGCGGCAATCCTTATGCATCCAAAACAGTCCCTTCCTCACAAAGCGGGGGAGGTATCAGCAGGCTTGGGGAAAGCACCAAGGTTTGCAGAAGCACAAGCAATCTTTAGAGAAAGAAAAAACATAATAATGGTAAGACACCCCCCCCCCACACACACACACAACAGTCCAGTGAGGAATTGAGCAAGGTTTGTGTCTGCTCTGCTCATGGGACACTAGCTAATGGTTTGAGCTGCTAAGTTTCATGCTAAGTTTCTGCTGTGTGGTTTGTTTGTTTATTCATTTATTTATTGTCTTAAGGGCTTGCAATTTAATTGTATTTTGCATTTTCTTGTCTATGAAAATTGCCTGGAGGTGCCACATAAATGCAATGAATGACTGGGGTAGGGAGAGGACAGGAGGAGTATCCTGGAAGGAGCATAGAAGGTTAGAACTCTGAACAGGAACATTCAACGCTGCGACATTTTGTTGCAGTCCTACTTGTTTCTCTGTCAGAAATCATATCCCTCAAGGCAGCCTGCTTTAGTAGTCACCACAACCATGTGAGATAAATCAGGTTGAGAATCAGACTTAACCCAAACAGTGCAGAACTGATGCTCCTTGGTTGCGTTGGTAAGGAGACAGCCTGGCTAATTCAGTGCAAATAAAGCATGCTCCTTTATCTAACCCAACCTGAGTTGTGTACCTTTGTCACAGAGGGCTTGAAATGGTGAATTGCAACATAGGGCTTACCACTCATTTCAGGTTTTTTTGTTTTCCAGCTGCAACTCATTTTTCTGTGGCAAATGAACAGGCTCTCCCCTTACTGCACTGTAATTGTGGTGGTGATTCTTGAGTGGTTTTTCTTGGTTGTTGTTTTCATTGCACTTAACCTCAGAGTCTCCCCTGAGCACGATCATTTGGCCCAGTTTGACTATAATGCTGGTGACACTCACCACCTGAGTTCGCCATTGTGGTGTGTGCACAGATGTGGAAATTAACACATGGTTAAAGGTGTGTGACTGAACTGAAATATCAGCTCTTTAAAACAGGAGAGGGGAGTTCTATCTCACTCCAAAGTGAGCTGTCGGCTCAGAGCGACCCTTCACGAATCCATTTCCTTTCGCAGGGTCTTTTCAAGAAGCTCCCATTGAAAACGTAACTGTAGTGGAGGGGGGAAATCTGGATCTACGCTGCGCTGTTGCTGGGGACATCGGATCTGCCGTGGAGTGGAAGAACCCACGTGGGTTTGTGATTTTCTTCAGGAACACCCAGCGAGGTAGGTGCTGGGGGAAGGCAGGGACCCCATAACATTTCCACCGGAAAGAGGAAACAAGTGAACTTTCCCACGGAACAGCGATATGAGTCACACACACCAACACAACTCAGTTTTGACAGGTTCACTCACAGCCACACTCCTGCAGGAAGTCAATGTAATAAAGGCCCCCTTTGCAGTGGTTAGGATGTGTGAATACAGCAATTCCTTCCAGCAGGTTTATTATGTCACCCCTACATTTGAAAAAGGAACAGGGGAAAAGCCCACCACTCTTTCCAACAATCGGTTCGTTCAGGTGGGCTCTAACATGTGCCTCAAGTGTGGGGCAGTGGTTAGAGCGCTGAACTAGGACCTGGGAGACCAGGGTTCAGATTCCCACTTGGCCATGAAGCTCACCTTGGGCCAGTCACTGCCTCCTGGCTGAGCCTACCTTACAGGGCTGTTTTGAGGATTAAATGAGGAGAGGGAGAACCATGTCTACCACCTGGAGCACCTTGGAGAAAAAGGTGGGATGTACGGTAAATGCAATCAATCAATCAATCAATCAATCAATAGGTAGGTATTTAAAGATGCCACTTTACAGGAGTGTTTTGCCTATACTTTTGATTCTTGGGGCACAGGGTTTCCTGGATTAAAAGTAGAGGCATGCTTCCTTCTGCCCCCTTATCCCTGCAACACAGCCCATTACTCCCCTTCATAATGAGGCAGAACCTAATGCACTGCTATGCAATCTTTTACTGACTTGCCCCCATTGCTTATCTCTCTTGCAGGCATAAGAGATCCAAGGTATACACTTGTCCATCATTCAGCAGCTGACTTCTCTGTCCGTCTCTCCAACGTCACGGTGCGTGATGAAGGAGTCTATACATGCCTCCACTACATGGTGCCAACTGGAAGGAAGCAGGTGAACGTCAATGTCTTAGGTGAGCCTCCAGGCTTTCAGTGGATGACACAGTGATGGGAAGGGTGATGTCAGAGTGGAACCTCCAACAGCTGCTGAGCAGGAGCCACGAACTCCTTGTCTATCCCGGGATCAAAGACAGGAGCTGAAAACCAGAGGCTGCATTTGCACTTCCAAAGATGCCAGAGTTGCTGGCTGATCCCAGTTCATTTTGCATGAACAGGATTTCATTTATTTGACAAAAAATGTATGCCACTTGATTGTAGTGAAACCAGTTTACAAGGAATATTGATATTATCTGTTAAAAAGCAACTGAAAACATCGAAATCTACTTGAAATTAACAGTAAGAGATAAAGAAAGGTTAAAACAGCCAAATTAAAAGTAATAGCAAAAAGTTTAAAATGTACTTGTTTTTTGTTTAAATGTTTATACAGGTCACATTCATAAGAAATGCAACAAGGCAGTGTGGCAGCACACGCAAGTTGCAATGGTATGAAAAGCATCAAGAAAACATCAGTATAAAAACCCATAAATTTGGCTTGGTTGAAATAAAATTCACACTTCAAAGGCCTGTCTAAATAACACAGTTTTCAGAAAACCTCTAAGCAGTGCTATTTTTCTAGAAAAAGAGGTGTCAGAACACCTCCCTAGTTCTCTTACAATTAAGAAACCAACCAGGAAGCTGAAATTAAGCTTGGCTTTCTGTTGCTGGGGATAATGGTTTGTTGCAGCTTCATAATCAGGATTGCCAGCCAGCCAGAAACCATGGCTTGTTGTTGACTTGTGATCCTTGGCTTGTTCACTAGGAGAACATTTCTTATCTGCAGAAGTTGAAAAATTTGGAGCAAACCATTCTTTGCCGTAATGAAGTTGCGGTGGGGAGACTGTCACCTCCAAATCTGATTCTGTCTTCTTACAGCTGCTCCTTCCAGACCTCTGCTGGAAGCAACAAGGGTCAGAGTTCACGATCAAGAGGAAAAGATGGTGTTAAGGTGCTCCACCTGGGGTGCTAAACCCTCTCCTCAAATTACGTGGCTGCTGGACAATGGGATGGAACTCTTTGGTATGAACTTGCTTTCTTTGTACAGTGTATTTTGTCTTTTAAAAACCATTCTAGAACCATTGGTCAGGAATGATGGGTTGGCCCTTGTCTCACTGAAGCAAATTTGCATGCACAATAACCAAATTTTATTCTATAAAATCACCTTTTAATAACTGCGTTCAGATACACTAATCATAGAATTGTAGATTAGGATGGGACCACGAGGGTCATCTAATCCAACCCCCTGCAATGCAGAAATCTTTTCCCCGTTTCTGCTTTCCCTTTCTCTTCCAAATACATTTTTAAGACTTTCCACCCAGGTCTTCATAATTTTTTTAGAAGCAAATGCTGGTAGAATTTGTGTTGAAATTAACACTCCAGATCAAGGATAAGGATCCTCTGGATTTGGAGCCAAATGTGGTTATGTAGGCATCTGTGTCTGGCCCTCAGCACTCTCCCTCAGGCCATGCACTGTCCCCTGGGCACAATTCATACCACCCCTCTCTTGAGTGAATCATAGAATTGTGAAATTGCAGAGTTAGAAGGGACCTCAAGGATCACCTAGCCCACCCACCCCCTGCAATGCAGAAATCTCAGCTAAAGCATCCATGACAGATGGCCATCCAACCTCTGCTTAAAAACCTCCAAGGAAGGAGAGTCCACAACCTTCTGAGGGAGAACATTCCACTGTCAAACAGTTCTTCCTGTCAGAAAGTTCTTCCTGGTGCTTCTGCCTGGATAGAATATGTCCTCGAAATCTGGATAATGCCAGCTTTTGCACAGCCGGAATGTAGCCTACTGTGTACCAGGTGGTTCCCCCACTTTTGGCACTGACCCTACATACTACTGTGATGCTGCCCCTGAAGGGATACCCACAAGGGAGTGTGACCCTTGGGCTGAAAAAGGTTCCCCGTCCCTGTTCTAGATACTATGCCTGATACAGGTTTAGAATTTCAAATGCCCCATTCATTCTGAATAGATCAATATGGGAAGGCACTATAAGGGATTTTGTGGCGGTCCAGTCAGGACCAGAGACTCTCAGAGTGACTGGCTTGCCTGCCTGCCTGTTACAGAGAAAATGGCCAGTTGAAAGGGCTTTCTGGCAGTGATTGGTTTCGTTATGGTGATTCTCAGAAAGGGCAACGCGGGAAGAACCCAGCAAAGGAGGGATCAAATTATAAAGGGGTCCGAATAAAGCAAGCTTGGAGACAGGAAATTTCTGAGAGAAGAAGGAGGGGGAGAATTGGCAGGTCTCTGGCTGTCAACTAAAGTTCCAAAAGTTTTAATTGCTTGCCATTCCTTTTCTTAAAACCATCCATAGGAATTATTTCCTTCCTTGTATTCCCAAATGCATTTTAGGTGATACTAAACACCAGCCGGAAGAGAAGAAATGGAATTCAACTAGCACCCTCACAGTCCACACCTACACCCAGAAGTCTGGCGTTACTTGTGTTATTCGTCACAGAGCTCTCCGAGGAGGAAATTTAACAGCAAATTTACACCTTGGGCACAATGGTAAGTGCCAAATGTGCACAGTGTGGCTGAGGTGGCATCAGCGTTCAAGACAGAGCAATACCAAGAGGAGAGAAGGCACAAATTCTGTCTTCTTCACATCAAAATACATTCAATGGCAAATCAATAGCACAGATTGTGGCAGTCTGCTTTAAAAAGGAGGGACTACCATATTATGGCAGCAAGTTAGCTCAGTTGGTTAGAGCAGGGTGCTGATAATGCCCAACTTGCAGGTTCGATCCCCGTACGGGACAGCTGCATATTCCTGCTATTGGACTAGATGGTCTCAGGATCCCTTCCAATTCTACAGTGCTATTAATCTAGATTAGTAAAACCGGGGCAGAATTTTGCCAGGCCCCATGCTAACCTCGTTGCTTACTACTACTAATAATAATAATAAATTTTATTTATATCCCGCCCTCCCCAGCCGAAGCTGGGCTCAGGGCGGCTAACAACAATAAGAACAGAAGGATATGAGAGCGTAATAATAGTTCAGCTGAATCTCAAACCAAAGGCCCAACTTTTTTCAGCATTCTTTTTCTTACTGTGGCCAACCAGAAACCTCCAGGATACCTCCAGGAAGTTGTGAAGAAAATAGCCCTTCCTCCATTTTTGCTCCCTAGCCTAGGTGCATGGAGGTAGACTGCCAGTGAAACTGGAGGCTCCATTTAGTTGTTGTGCAGAATAGCTAGTGAAGGTTCTGCCATTCCTAAACTCTGCTAACCCTCTTTTAAAGCCACTGGAAATAATTGCCCTTGCCATTTCTTGTGAAAGTGAGTTCTATAAATGACCCTGAGTTCGAATATTATGTTAAAGCGGAAGAGGGGAGGCCTTGTTCTGTGTCCTTCGTTGATGCTCCAATGCCTTGCATCAGGGATGCTAAAACTGTCTCCCTCCAGACTTTGTTGGACTGCAGCTCCCATCATGACTCTAATCCTCAACCATGCTGGCGGAGGCTGGTGGCTGTTGGGAATCCGACAATATATGCACCACAACCATACATGGAGGAAATGAGGAAAATTCTGAACAAATATGTTTCTGTGTTCCAGAGCCTACCACAGACTTCACCCCAACAACACTTGCAGTTAGTACGATAACTCCAGAAAACCTTCCCCATTATAAAGGTAAAATATTCCACCACCATTTTGTGGAGTGTGATGTACTCACTACATTCTCCTCATCCAATGCTATCTGATTTTCCTGCCTTTCTCCCCAAATCCAATACAGTGGTACCTAGGTTTTCGAACATCTTGGAAGCTGAATGTTTCAGTTTTCGAATGCTGAAAACCCAGAAGTAAATGCTTCTATTTTCAAACGAGCCTCGGAAGTTGAACGGCTTCCGCTGCATGTTTTTCAATTTTCTCATTTGAACTTGCAGCCAGCCCTTTGCGCCTTGGTTTTCGAACGTTTCGGAAGTTGAACGGTCTTCCAGAACAGATTACGTTCAAGAACTGAAGTACCACTGTACATGGACAATCCGATCTGTTCAGTCTGCAATGAGCTGTTTTGTTCTGAGAGCTTGGTTTTTTAAACTTTGCTTTTTATACTTCTGCAAATATCAGGGTTCACCAGAGCATGCTGATACAGCCAACTCCTTTTCCCATGGCTTCATTTTAGTCCTAATCCTATAGGCACTCACTACTTGTGTTCATTATTAGAGGGAACTGGTAGCTTTCAAAGGGCATTGGGCAACTTGAAGGGGATAGGTCTGTCGATGGCTGCATTAGCCAATGGGAAACAAAAGGAGGAGGGGGAGGCCATTGCTTCTTCAAGCTTTGCCTGTGGTCCTCATGGAGGGTCCAGTGCGTCACTGTGCAAAAGAGGATGCTGGCTTAGGTAGAACTTCTGATCTGATCTGTCAGGGCTTTTCTGACATTGATCCTGCACAGTGGAGGCTGGTCTGTTAGGGTGCCCCACCAACTTCAGTCTGCCCCCAACTACCTGACTTCTTACTTGCAACCAGTAAATCAATCAATCAATCAATCAATCAATCATCACCCCCTGGGTAAGCTTTCCCAGAAGATGTTTAGCACATAGCTTCCCCACTATGGAGAGGAGGATTATTGGTCCATAGTTGGAGGGTAATGAGCACTCTCCCTTTTTGTATATTGGAATGATGATTGCGCCTGTCCATGCCTCTGGCATAAAAAATCCAGTCCTATCTACCCTTGTGAATAGGTTGGCCAGCAAGGGAGCCCACCAGTCAGGGTCTAGTTTAAGAACATTGGGACCTATGCCATCTGGGCCAGTGGCTTTCCCTTACTGGCCTATTAACATTTTTACTTCATCTGATGAAACTGGGGGCCACTTGGGGGGCATCGATTTGCATAGAATGATAACAAGCTGTCCCACTGGAATGATCCTCATTGCAAGACACTTGAAAAGTAATGGTACCAACCAGTAGGCGAAACAGGTGGAGAGGATAAGTCATTAGTGTTAAATGCCCCAGAAACTAAGGGCCAGAATCTCCTTTCATCATTTGACGTTATGGCATATATAGTGGAGTTGTTCCCATTGTTTGTTGGTATGTTCAGATCTCCGTCTTTTTTAAAAATAAGGTGCTGCAGTAAGTTTTGGGACCTGAAATATTCTGGGGGTAGGGCGGTGGCTTCGTCCTTACGGTGTGGGTGGAAGATATTCCGGATGTGTGCTTTGAGATCTCTGCATTCCTTATGAAACCAGGTTGCAGCAAAGGGCTCCCTGGGTCGTTTTCGCACTGTGAATTGTTGTTTTGAAAACTCATTCAGAGATGTTATTAGGACTTCAAATGATTCAACCCGTCTAGAGGGTGGCACTGGACGTCCACTTCCTCCTCCTTAGGATTCACCCACTCTTCTGCTTGTCCCAAGTCTAGAAAGCACAGGTCTGAGTGGTTTTTCCCTTGCCTCCCTCCTTTCATAGGAAAAGCCCACACCTTAGTGCTAAATCAGAGAAAACCTGAATTGCTGTTTGCTCCGACTGAGCACTAAAGAGCGCTGTTCCCTGGGGGGAAGCAGTGGGACGAGAGGCAGTGTGGAGAAGCCCTTAGTCTCACTACTGACCATATAAAACTCAGTAAGGAGGAGGTTTGGGACAAAGCTAGAATGGGTTTGCTGTGACTGTCATTAGCTCTGGCTCCCCCTACTGTCAGCCTCCCAGCCTGCTGCCCAACCAGTCCCAATGGGCACCAGCCCCCCGTGGTCCTGGGGTAAGAAAAGGAGGGAAAAGACTTTTTTAAAATTCTTTTTTATTATTTCAACAGGGCCAGGCGAAGCATTAAATATTACAGAAGGAAGCCTTGGAACACAAACACCACACACAAGTGCTGCAGCAGCAACTCTGAATTCTAATGCTACCAACGGTATGATGAAGCAGTTTAACAATTATTTCCTGATGTTAAAAAATGAAGTTGATTTCCGATGATAACCCAACCCCATGCAGCTTACTTCATCTCCTGGAATATCAGTATTGCAGCATTTTACATTCGGGTCATCAAAAGAAATGATTCTTTTGCTTGATGCATAACATTGGGTAGTTCGTTGCTTTTAGATGTGGTGATAGTTACCAGTCTAGAAGTCTTGAAAAGTGGATTAGGCAAATTCATGGAGGCTGAAGCTATTGGTGCCTATTTGTTCAGATGGTTAAATAGAACCTCCCAGTTCAGAGGCAGTATACCAGCACAAAGCAACAGCAGGAGAGGGCCTTTGCCTTTGTGACCTGCTTGTGGGCATGAGGCTCTTAATCTCTGGGTTGTGGGTTGTGGGTTTGAGCCCCATGTTAGGCAAAAGTTTCCTGCATTGCAGGGGGGTGGAGTAGGTGACTCTCGTGGTCCCTTCCAACTCTACAATTCTATTATTTCCAGAGGCACCCAGTGGCCATCATGGTAGCCGGATGCTGACCTAGATGGAGCATTGGTCTGAGGCTGAGCTAGTAGGATTCTTTATGAGTTCTTAAATTTTTGCTTGGGAATTAAAGGAACAACACTCCTCTTTTCATTTTCTTCAGGCTCAGAAAAAATATTAAATGCGACAGAAGAAAACCTTAGTATACCAACTCTGTCTCCAACTGGAGGAGCAACAATCCTGAATTCTTATGCCACTAAAGGTATGCTGAAATAATATTAAAATCGTTTCCAAATGGAAAAATGGAATTAACTTCTGCTGCTAATCCTTAAATATACAGGTTATTTCAACCTATTCACTGTAATGTCAGCATTGCTATATTCACTCCTCTCAGGATGTAAAAGGAATAAACCTTCTTTTTTTTCAATTCAGCGGGATCAGATAAAATATCCAATGTGACAGAAGGAAATTCTAGTACACAAACACCGTATCCAGGTTCTGACACAGCAACTCTGAATTCTCAGAGCACAATTGGTAAGTTAGTGAAATGTTAACATCCTGATGTACAGGTAGCCAGTGTGGTGCCCTACATATGTTTTGGACTCGGGTTCCCATCACCCAATCCAGCTTGGCCAATGGTCAGGAATTATGGGAGTTGTAGTCCAACATCTGGAATGAATGCTCAATAAAAACATCTAAACTTTTTGGAAACACTCAATAGACGGGTCATCTGGAAGTGGCCAAAAACTCATTCTACCAACTGAAGAGAAACTTTGCAACCAACCCAATGCACTGTTGTTAACTCGTTTACTGGTGGGGATCCATCAGACATTGCCCCTAAAGGAACCATGGCTGTTACAGAAATATGATGTATCCGCAACATTCAGAGGACAATGTACCAAAAGCATGAAAACTCACATTTTTGTTTTTGTTGTTTTTGTTTGTTTTGTTTTGTTTTGTTTTGTTTTGTTAACAGGAACAAATCTTACACATGAAGGAATCGTGAAACGAGCGAGCCTTTTGCTTCCCATCCTTGTGACGGTGTTACTTTCTGCTCTCTTCATCATTGTCCTGCTTTTTGTGGTGAAACTGTGGAAGGCACACAGAGAATGGAAGAAAGGTTAGAGAGGACAGACAAATGAAGAGTGTGCATTCTGGATGTTTTGACAACCCCTCCCCTCCCAAAAGCAGTGCAGGGGGTAGGACTATCATTATGCACACTTAAGGTAAAAGTAAAGGGACCCCTAACTATTAGGTCCAGTCGCAGACGACTCTAGGATTGCGGCGCTCATCTCGCTTTATTAGCCGAGGGAGCCGGCGTACAGCAAGACTAAGCTGCTTCTGGCAAAACCAGAGCAGCACACGGAAACACCGTTTTCCTTCCCGCCGCAGCGGTACCTATTTATCAACTTGCACTTCATGCTTTCAAACTGCTAGGTTGGCAGGAGCAGGGACTGAGCAACGGGAGCTCACCCCGTCACAGCGATTCGAACCGCTGACCTTCTGATCGGCAAGCCCTAGGCCCTGTGGTTTAACCCACAGCACCACCCGCGTCCCTTTATGCACACTTACCTGGGAGTAAATCCCAATGAATTCAGTGGGGCTTCAGATTGCAATTGACCCCTGCCTCTTTGTGAAGAAATGTCATACACACACACACACACACATACACACACAGCTGCTGGTGCTGCTGCTCATTATTTTCCTTTCCAATGTCACCTATGTAGAAACTGAAGTTTCGGATCAGACGCTTGAAAGTAACAAACCTCGGCCAAATGAAGACAACCATGGGCAGGAGAAGAATAGAAATGGTATGCATTGAAATTTTTGTGTTTGTGTGGATGGGGGCAGAAGGAATTATTTGAATTAAGAAATGCAACCAAAGTAATAGCTGATGGATCAACTAGGGATTAAAGTCTAATTGTATTTTTGTTCTCGGTTTATACAACTGTTCCAAAGCAATGGATCTGGATTTCATCCATGAAAACAAAGTTGTACCACAAACCCCACAATTCAAGGCCTATGTCCAGAAAGGACACAAAGAAAGTGTCTACAGAAAGGGGTTACAATTTAAAAGGGAGATGGAATAAATGATACAATGAAATAAATTCCAATACAGTCATACCTTGCATCAGTACAGCCATCAGTAAAATCAACAAAAGTTTAAAAGAATAAAAAAGAGGGGAGGGTTCATCTGAAGGCAGCAAGAGAGAGGGGACAAAATGGAATTCTCAAGGGAGGGAATCTTCCTGGTGTTAAAAGGTCCTTGGCACCTGACAACCCATGTGGCAAGGTCAGTGTAGTGGTCACAGTGTTGGACTGGGACTTGGGAGACCAGGGTTTGAATCCCCAACACAGCCATGAAACTGACTAGGTGACCTTGGGCCAGTCTAACCTACCTTACAGGGCTGTTGTTGCAAGGATTAAATGAGGATGGAGAGAACCTTGTCCACCACCTTGAGCTGCTCAGAGAAAAAGGTGGGATGTAACTGCAAGGAATAATAATAAATAGAATTTTAGGTCCCAGATTGCTTTGAAATACATGAATAGGTTCTGATTTCAGTAATGGCTGACAGAGATAACTTCATGTCGTATTACACAGCAAAATAAGCACTCTGTATGATGGGCAAGGGGGACGCGGGTGGCGCTGTGGGTAAAAGCCTCAGCGCCTAGGACTTGCCGATCGAAAGGTCAGCGGTTCGAATCCCCGCGGCGGGGTGCGCTCCCGTTGCTCGGTCCCAGCGCCTGCCAACCTAGCAGTTCGAAAGCACCCCCGGGTGCAAGTAGATAAATAGGGACTGCTTTCTAGCGGGAAGGTAAACGGCGTTTCCGTGTGTGGCTCTGGCTCGCCAGAGCAGCGATGTCACGCTGGCCACGTGACCCGAAAGTGTCTCCGGACAGCGCTGGCCCCTGGCCTCTTGAGTGAGATGGGCGCACAACCCCAGAGTCTGTCAAGACTGGCCCGTACGGGCAGGGGTACATTTACCTTTTATGATGGGCAAGAGCAATATATATTTGTTTTATTTTTTATCCAGTTATCCCTTGGAAGATCAGTAAGAAATATGTAATTGGAGGATCGTGCACGAGGACAATGAAGAATTCAGAGGGGAGTCAAGATTCATCAGTCTTTGAAAAACATTTGCCTTCCGTTAAGGAAACTGACCTGTGAGCATCACTCCCTACTGATAATATTGGACTATGTACAATGGCGCAGGACGGCATTCACTTTATTTAGCCTATGGCTAAATAGTCACCTTTCTGTGAAAAACACTTCAGAACCAACATTTTCAACAGGATTTCAAACCAGCGGGAACAACTGGTTCATAAACGTGGGGTTCAAGCTGGGCTAATTGTGTTGTAAATAAAAAGACAAGCATACTGCAAAAGCTGTTGAGAATCTGCAACTTGTATATGTTATGATTGAGCTAGCATCTTAATAAATACAATACTTAGCACTTTGGAGCATAAAAGCAGTTCACACATTTTCCCAGTAAACTCTCCCAACAATGCAGTACAGGTCAGAATAATTATCCCCATATTGCAGATGGGAAGACTGAAACTACCCAGAGGACTGACCTGAAGTGACTTATCTGGTGTCTGACTGTGGTTTGAACTTGTTGGAAGCCCTGGGTGACCTTGGGCCAGTCACTCCCCCTCTGAGCCCAATGGGTTGTGGCGGGAACACAGCCCACTACAAAAGCTGTTCATTGCCTCTGGGGCCAGCACTATTGTTAGGCAGAATGAGGTGGGTGACAAAGGTAGCTGACATTGGGCGTCATGAAAGGGCAAAAACTGCTAAGCTATTTAATGTATTGCTATTTTCTTTTTAACCCCACCAAGAGGCACTTGCATGGTTTTCTGTTCTCATGTGCTAAAATAATCTGGGTGGGAGCACCCCTTGACTTGGAAAAGGGGCACCGTTTGCTGTTCTGCCTCAGGCAGCAAAATATCTTGGACTAGCCCAGTCTGCCCTGCACCACGCGGGCTTTAAACGAGGCTTTTCCCTATTGTGAGAGAGGAAAGGGAACTGCTCCTGCCATTTCCATTTCTGTCAAGACAAATGTCTGTATCCGCTGCCAACTATAAGGGTTTGCGCACAAAACGCATACATATATAAACACAAGCAGACGAAAATTAAAAACTATCCAACTTAAAACATAGAATGCATCATCGTGGCTGCTTATTTCAATTTTCAGTTGCCAGGTGTTTAAAATTCTCCGTTGCCACCAGCTTATCTTGATCCGCGGAGACAAAAGTCGCCCAATAGTCAGCTGAGCATCCTCAGCGTCCTCCGCAATCTTGGGCCGGAAGGTACCATTCCGCCCCGACCACGTTGGTCTCTCACCCTCCCCCCCCGTTACGGAGGATTGGTAGCTGCCCAGAAAGAGCAGAGAGGGCGGGGCGGCGAAGGTCTGTGTATCTGTGTACCGTTGCTATGGAGACGTGGCGCTAGTGGCGCAGCGGGAGCTGCGGAGAGTAGCTCTGTGAATAGCCTGCGGCGTCGCTGCTGAAAGGTAGTTGGGGAGCAGAAAGGGAAAAGGGTTCGGGTGGGGTGGGGGGAAGCAGGCAGGTATCACTCGAGAGGAGACAGGAAGGAAAGGGGGTGGGCATTTTCCAGCATGATGTCAATGAGGAACAAGAACTGCACCTCTTCCGAAGTCCTGCTCCCTTTGGCCAGCTGCTGGAGGTGCAGAGAGTCCAACAGGTGCAGCAGCTTCTCCTGGATGCAGTGGCGGAAAACGCTTCCCCGGTTGAATTTCTGCCAGTCATGCAGCTATTAAATGAATCTAGAGGTGGGAGGAGGGCGATGAGCAGCTCAGAGGACACCCACCCCTCCAAGTTTGGAGGGGCCAGTTTGACTCCTAGGGTTTATCACAGATCCACAGGGAGAAAGATGTGTGTTTAAAAGTTTGTCTGTGCTTATGGTTTTGCAGTGGTAGCTTGTATTGGGCTGTTGCTGTTTTGCCTTGTTGAGTTAGCTGCCCTGGAAGACAGGTGTGCTTAAGGCACGCAGTTAATGGTAATAAATACATATCAGTATATTTAAATGTGTTGTTATAACTTATGATACCAGCTGCCTAAATGATTGCAAGAAGCAAAGGCTTGGCTATAGACTACCCCCTCTCATCCTGACCCCACATATGTGATGTCTTCTTTATTCCATTTATGTTGTGCCCTGAGACTAAATAGATCTTTAGTACCCTTTGTCCAGGCAAGGAGACCTTACAACAGGGGTCAGCAACCTTTTTCAGCTGTGGGCCGGTCTACTGTCCCTCAGAGCATGTGGTGGGTTGGACTATATTATTTGGGGGGGGGATGAACGAATTCCTATGCCCCATAAATAACCCAGAGATGCATTTTAAATAAAAGCACACATTCTACTCATGGAACAACACACTGGTTCCTGGATCATCAGTGGGCCAGATTGAGAAGGCAATTGGACCACATCCAGCTCACGGGCCTTAGGTTGCCTACTCCTCCCTTAGGATGATCAATTTACATGGCTGCTTCTGATCTGATGGTATTGCTCTCCCGCCTCCCATTGAAAAAGAGAGGAATGTGGTCAGAACCACATACTGCTTTTTTTTTGTTTACACTCCAGAAAGTACAGAGTGGTCCTTACATAGGAATACTAACTCCTATGTTGCAGAATGGGGATTACGGACATAGGCCTAGGTGTGCCAGCCTTAGGCTGTTTGCGCATTACTAGCTTAAAGTCCAGCTAGGTCATTCTTTTCTCAATTCAAATTGAAGCTGGTTTGGGGGGAAATGCATCAGAAGGCAGAATTTCACAAGGAACAACAGGATAGATGCGGGATGGAAATGGATTGCGGCAAAGACATGTACCGTAGGAGCCAACTCCAGGGGGCTGTGGGTGCTTGGGCACCCACAATCATATAATTGTGGGGGCAGGGCACCCACAAAGTCAATGGGAAAAGCTGGCAGGCGGCAGTGGCGCTGCCTCCGAGACAGAAGCGGTCCAGCTCCGCCCTCTGCAGCCAGCAAGCAAGGCACCCTTTTCTGAGCCTGAGCCCCTCCCTGCAGAAAAGGGTGCCTTGGTGGCTGCAGAGAGGAGGAGGAGGGAGAGGAGCCGCCGTCGCTACAACACTGTGGACATGAGACATCACCCACACACGCCTGCACGTACAGTGGTGAGCACCCACAATCCTGAGGGTGAGATGGCACCCCTGCTGTGTATGATGCTTCCAAAACCAGTGATGGAACGTGTAATGAATGCAGAGGGGGTTATACACAGCCTTAGATAAAGCAATAGTAACATTTGATCACTTGTGCTTAAAGCCATTGGGATTGCTGAGGAGTCTTTGCCTACAAAAACAGTTCAGGCCCATTGCTGGAAACACAAAACACAGATCAAGACTGTAATGCCCATGACTTGAATATACACAATTATTTAATTGTTATTGCAAGTTGCATTAGAAGGCTCGATCATTTTTCAAGCAACTTTCAGATTTTCAGACCTTCCACATTTGAGCTTGAAAACATTTTTAAAAATTAAAGAATGGCTGTACTTGAGTGTGTGTTTTTAACCTTGAGGATTCCAGGGGGTTCTGAGCTTTCAAAGTAAAATCTTGAAAACGCTAAACTTACTTTAAATGCTGGCTTTTCTTTCATTGGAAATTTGAAGAGTTGAAATGGTCTTTGGGGATCATATGGTCCACACACACACCTCTTTTGCATATAATTGTAAGCCATCTCAGAAACAGAGCAGGCAGCAATAATTAGGATATTGCTTACTTTGTTTTACAGAAGGGTCACACACGTGAAGTGGATTTTTCTGCTCATTCTGAACTTCCCCCCCCCCCCTGCACCATGAACGCAAAGAGCCCATTATCCCAAAATGGTTTAGTTCGGCCGCACGTCCATTACTCCTTTTTGGAAACAGCATCTGAAGGATTGTCACAGAGTGACTCTGATTCTGAAAGCCTTGCTCAGGAGATTCAGTATCAGCTTGAACTTCAGAAGCGGATCCACAAAAGTGAAGAGCTGGTGGGCCAGTCTGGTGATGAGCTGGAAGAAGACAGCTTAGATGAAAACAGCTTAGATGAAGACAGCCTGGAGGGAAAATGTCTGAGTGGAGGAAGAGAAGAAGTCTCTGATGGAGAAGAAACACAAGTTCCAAGCAGAAGTGGTGCTGGAAAGGAAAACTGCAGCCATGCAAGGTAAAGCATTTGCATTTTAATGTACAGGCATTTCTGCACTTCTGTTTTCGGTCAGGACATGTTAAAAATATAAGGACAAACCTAAAATGAGCCCTACTGGATCAGGCAAAGATCTGTCTAGTCCAGAGACCTGTATATGGTATTGACTACAAGCAGACCATGAAGGTAGCAACCCTCCTGTCTCCTGAGGTATACTCTGTTTTTATATGGACGTTCCATTTAGCTTTCATGGCTAGTGGCTGCAGAGACCTATTCTCCTTTATTTGTCTGAGCCTGATTTAATCACATATACTGAGAAGAGTGAATGACAAGACGATCATTTACCAAGTAATAAGTTATCACCGTACACATGTGATTTCTTGGTAAGCTGGTTGTTGTTGTTTTGCTAAGTGGTGGAGATCATTCTACTGCTTCCATGCAATTCTGTTTACATGCAGAAGTGAAAAATCAAAGATGGCTTCTTGATTACTGTTCGTTGACCATTTAGCCTGGTTTGTTTGCTCAAAGTTTGCGGGGAAGTTATCATCTATTTATTGTGCATTGATCCTGATTTCTTTGCAGGATCAAAGTTCGGCAATGCAGTCAAGCAAATGTTATGCTATATTTTCCAATACATTTTTCTGTCACTTCTCTTCTTTATAAAAGGTCCAATTTGGGGAGGGGAAAGAGAATTTGTTGCACAAGAGCTCCAAATCAGCTTTAATTGCACAGCCTGAAATTTGCTGTCATGTGACTAAATCCCACACAAAAATAGTGATGGTCTAAAAGCACCCATAGAGATGAACCTCAAAGTTTTGATTACCTTTAATCTGCCAGTTTTCATTTACCTGGTCCTTTGTTTTACATATGAACTTGATTTTTTGTTTATTTTATTCCCATTTTATTTTAAGGGGGATCAGCCTAGGAACCTGAACAGTGGTATACAAATACTTCCAGTAAAGGTGCTGAAGAAAATTGCTGTATTTCTTTGCAGAAGCATTCCACTTTCTTCTAGTGACCAATATGTTCTAAGTAGAACATTCTCTTGTGTTATCAAATATAGTCATACCTTGCAAGTTGAACGGAATCCATTCCGGAAGTCCGTTCAACTTCCAAAACGTGCGGAAACCAAAGTGCGTCTTCCAATTGGCTGCACAAAGCTCCTGCAACCAATCGGAAGCTGCAGAAGCCCTGTTATACGTTTGGGTTCCAAATAACGTTTGCAAACGGGAACAGTTTGCGGTGTTCGAGAGCCAAAACGTCCAAGTACCAAGGCATTCAGTATCCAAGGTACAACTGTAATAGAAACAGAGTTGATACACTTATTTCTTATCATAATCCAGTAACTGTAAATACTACAGTGGTACCTCGGGTTACATACGCTTCAGGTTACAGACTCCGCTAACCCAGAAATAGTGCTTCAGGTTAAGAACTTTGCTTCAGGATGAGAACAGAAATCATGCTCCGGCGGTGCGG